AACATAAGCTGAATGTGGCCCAGATACTGAGTGAAATTGGCTATATTGTAGGATCTTTAAAAAAAGCTGACAGTTTTGTTGTTTGTTGTAATATTTAAACACTCTGAGCAGCTCTACATCCTCCCTGTTCTCTGCATCTTCTTTGTACATAATGTGGGTTCTTCCTGGTGTAAAATCAGTCTCAGGAGGTGTCATTGTCATGAAGGTGACTGGCCACAGTCGGCACTCACTGTTGCCCACGTAAACAATTTCCCATTTGCTCCTAATATTTGTCATTGTCCCCGCTGCCTAATCCTAATGGGTAACATCAGCTCCCCTATTTTTCTCTGCTCTCAACAAAAAAGCTGTTATTTTTAGTCTACTCTCGTTGCATATTTAAGCTGTTACATCAATAGACTGTGAGTGCATAATCAAGCAGCTGCAGTATCAGTAGCTAATAAAGACAGATTGTTTAGCAGACTGTGTGCTGATATATTATTTTATTGATTTTGCCAAATCAATAACCACAATGCTTTTATACTGGGTCATTTTGGTTGTCTTGAAAGACAGTCTGTAATTATTCAGTTACTTTACCGCATGTCGGTCGGTCGGGGGGAAAACGAAGGTTTTAGCGTGACTTGTGTGTGACTAATCATCATGTCTGTTGACAGAAATAGACTTTATGACTGAGATCACCCAAGGATAAAGAACAGAGATCAAGCCAAGCCCCCACAAAAAAGATAAAAAGAAAAAGACAATTGCTATGAAAAAGAGAATAAAAAGCTTTAATTTGTAATATAGGAGCACAGAAGAACTAATCTACCAAAAGGTCATATCAGCTGTGGTCAGTGTTGCTGGGTCCTGGGCCATCTGGCCCTTGGCTGGGATGTCAAGCGGTTGATTAGAGGATGCAGCAAGTATTAAACAGATTTCACACCTTTGGTAGTCATGTAGCCTTCAGCCAAGCTAGCAATCAAAGCGCCTGCACTCAGCCAATGAGAAGACCCCTAATGCTTCTTCTGCTGTGTAACTATGACGGCGCGTGTCACCTGACATGTGTCCTCTGCTGGTTGGACGGCAACAATGACAGCAAACATTTGAGAGGAGATTATAGCAGGCTGACATGTACCAGAAGTCTGAAACATGAAGGTCAACCACATAAACACAAATGGAATGTATTTAAGTAATGTCACAGTGCATAGTTTCCATTGCTTTGGTGCAGAGGAACTCGTACAGAGCAGCAGGATGTCATGACCTGTAAATGTGTGTTCTGCTCCAGGCTAGCAACTGTTAACACAACATTATCTGTTGATCTTGAAGCTGCTGCAGCTTGATGTTTTCCAGTGGTAGCATGTTCCGAGGTGATAAAAATATGTTGTATAATATGTTGTATTCTTGACCATCTTCTATTGGCAAAGCAGCACAAAAAATGTGTTTTCATCTGGGGATAGGCGGCAAATATAGTTTTTTTTAAATCTTAATATATGATCATGGAGCACATAAGTCAAAGGTCTAATGTGTAAAAAATACATCAGAATATATATATTCTGAATTTGAGAGCATGCATACTGCAAGGAGCCAAGGAGACAAATGCATTAAAATAAATCACTTTTCCCCAAATTCTGTTCTCACCTTTACTGGGAGAAACCAGAGGCTGTATTTTGTCTCTTTATACTGTAACAATCCATCAATCATTCATGTGACTATAAAGTAATATAAGTAATTAATAATACAAATATATTGTACGTTAATATAAATATAAGAAGCACTGTTTCCTAGAAATTCAATTTATATACTAATATGCAACAGCAAATATTAGGATTATAACATAAATATACAACGTAATTATGAAAACAATTTACTAATATAGAAATATAATTTCTAAGAGACAGGGTTGATGTAAGACCTACAAAATAAAGCTAGAACCATCATTTTTTTTTTTTTTTTACAATATACAATATATATTTTCTTAATAAGTATTCTGAATAAATTTTTTTACCAAGATCTCTGATGATCCATGTTTTAAATCAAACCAAATCTTTAGGACTTTGCCACAGTCCCAAAATGCGTGGATCAATTAATCTGTAATTCCACATTAAAAACAACTGCCCACGTGTAGTTTTAACCTTTCAGCTTTTACAGCATCTTCTGCATTGTGTTTTTTGAGTTGGCGGTCCACCCCACAGGACATGCTTTGAGATTTTTACATTCATCTGAACTGTGTAATCCTCATTGTTAAAGTCCCACCTGTTTCTCAGTGCTAAACAAACCCGGAGGTTACCTTTTAAACACGAAGGGTTGGACAAGAACCAGCGGTCCAAGGTGTGAGCACCATGAAAAGCACTGCCTGCTGGGTTTACACATATTGTAGACAAACAGTAAATCCCTGTTCGCCTCATTACGCCCGCTTTGAGCATGGCTGTGGATAAGGATGTATTGATTTTAATGGTCCAACCCTTTTAGATAAACAGTCCCAGAGGATCTGCGGTCTTTTTTATCAGATTTCACTGGCCTTGCAACAAACAAGAGCAGATAACACAGTGTCCTCACAGTGCTCAAGATCACTCCGTCTATCTTCTGGATTCATCTGGTCACACTGTGGAACCGGACATGTGTGTGTTTATAGACAGATAAAGCTGCACGTCTTATCTCTGAGCCTCCTGGTGTTCCTGTCTCTGCTCTCTTCACCTCCTCATTTTCAGGTTCTCTCCCTCCTTTTCTCCTCCTTGTTCCCCCTTTTTGGTTCCTCTCCGTCTCCTCACACCACTGCAGCTGTTAACTCCTCATCACCTCCGGTTCTTCTCTCCTCGTCACAGCTGGTTGTAGCTCATCCAGATCAAACAGGAAATTAGGGTGGCAGTCAGATAACTGAAATTCACTCTTTGTTCTGTTTGAAAGGGCTGGCATTAAAACGTTTTTATTTGTCTGTAGATTGAGTGTAGTAAGCATTTGGGTTTGAAATGATAAAGCTGAATGATAAATCCTCACTCAAGGATTTTAATACCCATGGTTAGCCTACTCATGCCATTCAGCTGCTGGCTTTTTAAATGGAGTCGTGTAATGGAGTGATGTTGTCGCAGAATTACAAAGGATTCAGTCTAATTATATGGCTTGGGCTTGTTGTTTGAAGAGAGTGACTCTGTGTGTGTGTGTGTGTGTGTGTGTGTGTGTGTGTGTGTGTGTGTGTGTGTGTGTGTGTGTGTGTGTGTGTGTGTGTGTGTGTGTGTGTGTGTGTGTGCCGAGAGTTGAGCCTCCGCCTGCTGTGAGCTGGGTAACTGATGGTTGATGAGGAGCGGCTGTGTTACCCATCTGCCCTGGGTATAACACCTGCCTGGCAGCGAAAAGACACAGTTATTTGAAGCTGTCACAATAATGTTGGTCCTACATCCCCCTGCCTTAAAGGATAAGTTCACATGTTTCAGGTCTATCTGTACTTTGCAACGGTTTCTGGTTGCTGAGAGATCGGGAATAAAATCCAGAGCCCTCAGTCAGTGACAAAATCCATTACAAAGTTCAGTTATAGGCAGTCTGAGTGAGACAAATCAAGTGGATTTCTTCCAAAGGTGCAGCCTTTTTTTAAGTGTGAAATTGCCTCTTTTGTTTTCCCTCCGGTTCTTTGCTGAGCTGCAGTGGAGGGATAATAAAACAAACGTGAATTTTGTCCCAAAAAAATCTGTAATTTTGGATTCACACACTTGATTTTATTACTGTAATCTCCTGAAGCCTCATATTAACTTCAAATCAACCATTGCTTTAAAAAGACGACTGCGGATTTTGTCCACCATCTACATAAAAAAAGAAATCTTTTATAGCCAGTATGGAGAACTACAGCAACAAATAACTATTTCATCATAAATGTCAGCATGTGAACAGACTTATACCTGGGTACTTGGAAATGTCACTTTGCACTGGTTCATCATTCATCAAAACACTGAACTGAGCTCCATCAAATCCATGAAGACTGCTGGACAAAATTAATACATATGTTTGTATCTAGGGGTGGATGATATTCCAATATATAACATGAAAAGACACAAATGTCAGATCTCTGGGTGTATTAAACCATTTTTGGATGCTGCAGTATTTCAAATCAGCAAAAAAAGACATCTTTATGGCAATATTGGATTTGTTTCTCATTTGATTTTCTAGAAAAATGCATTTTATTGTAATATATATCGATATCATAACATAAAACAACATTTACCGTAACTTGACATTTAAATAGACATTTTCCAGCAAGTATTTTCTCTGGTTGTGGTATAACATACAACAGATACACTGAACAGAAAGAGGTGAATGGCGATAACTAGTTAGCAACAGATGGTCAATTTTGACTTGTTGCAGTTTTTAATGTATGTCACCTCTGATCATTGGTGCTGTACAGAATAGAATTTCTGCATTAAACCAGCATTGTCCGTAGTTAATTTCTCACTGTGTCCATTATCTATACCTCCTCTGCAGGGATGTGGAGGGCTGGACTTTATCCCAGCTCAAAATGGGCGAGAGTCCAGCGTATACCTTCGACAGGTCGTCAATCTATCACAGGGCTGTTTGCCAACTCATAGATGATGTGGCTCTTCTGATGAGCTGATAGGGTTGATCTAAGTGTCAATGTAACACTGATGGGTGCCAGAGTCACATGAACGCTGTCATTTTTTACACCCTTAGACTTTTCCGGTAGGTGTTGCTTTTGAGAATGTGTTCCTTTGTACATTTTTTTTTTTATTGCATTACTCATCAAATGCAGTGAATAAGCTGTCACCATTACTGAATGCAGCTCACATGGTTGTTAAAAAATTTATTTTAGAACATTTTAGAGAAAATCCCACACATGAATTTTAATGCCGGCTCCGTGGTTAATCTCTGAAGCAGAAACATATTTGATGCTAGTTTGATGTTTCAGACCTTTTGGTCCTGAAAACAACAATCAGATATCATGAGCCCGTTGATCTCCATAAGCTGCAGACCCTCTGGAGCGAATCTAAAATTGTCTTCGTTCTCTCCTCTTTTTGTCTCTACAGTGCAGTGTCTGGAAATGACCACTAAGCGGAAGCTGATTGGCCGGCTGGTGCCGTGCCGTTGTTTCCGTGGTGAAGAGGAAGTGATCTCAGTGTTGGACTACTCCCACTGCAGCCTGCAGCAGGTCCCCAAGGAGATCTTTAGCTTCGAGAGAACTCTGGAGGAGCTCTACCTAGACGCCAACCAGATTGAGGAACTACCCAAGGTAACTTTGAAGCTAATCCCTTTTCTGCTGGCAAATTTTCTCCACTGACTTTAACTTGTAACCCTTGAGCTCAACTTCCTATATATGATTCCTACCATTTCTTGACTACCTGAACTTGGACCAAGGCCAGTCAGTCGACCAAATATGTGTTGCACTTTCTTATGAACTTGATCACTTTGATTAAAATAAATGGTTTACCCCACACAATGTTCAAGGGAGCAGTGACGTGTGTCTTACATAATGAAGAGCTGTTTCACATTTGGACCAATCGGTGGAAAGCACAGAAAATATGCACTTTTGCACTTTTGTACACACTGATTACGTGGCTATAACTGTGACTTAGTTCACACATTTTAATATAATAAAAAATGTTGTGTGAGCCAGTTCATTTAGTTGGACGGAGAGGCAACCGTAATGTAACTTGACTGTGCCAGAAGGTTTGTTTCACAGAACAATCTGGGAAGTTGTGGTTGGAAACTGTTTGGAAAAGGGCAGGTGCTTTCAAGAAATACTCGGCAGATGATTGGATGAACCATCTGTTTATCACCGTCTAACATGAGCGAACTACCCCTACAAACTTCAACCAATCAGATCAATGAAACATATAACGTAGTCAAACTCTTAATATAGCGAGTCAGGAAAGGGGTGGAAAAATATTTTCCATCGAGAAAAACCTTCAGTGCCGTTCTTTGCTCTTTTTTTCAATGAAGAAATACTCTCCAGTTCTGAGATAACTAATGCTAGCAGCATTTACGCTAACCTCTTTAGCAGCAGGCATTGTTGTCTACGAGCAAACAGTCACTTCTCCCACACGTCGTCACACACACACACCTAGCGTTCAACCACACTATAGCTCATGCCGTACCTGCCAGTAGTTCCTCAAGGGACACGGACTGGTCCGATACCACTGTGTTTGGACACATGCTCATAGCTTTAAGCCTGGCAGGATGGATTCTTGCATGTTCTTTTGATTTTGTGGTCTTGCAAGTCCAATTGCCTTGCAAGGTTAATAGTGATGTACATTTAAAGGAATTTACATTCAAGCAATTCTGGAAGTCTAGAGCCACACCCGTGGGCCTGTAAGGCACCAGAAACCAAGTGTTTGATTGTTCAGACCGAAGAAATTACTTTTTGGGATTCAAATTTAAAGTTTGGCCAGAGGGTGGCACTAAGGCCATGCTGATACCTAAACAGAAAGGGTGTATCCTCTGTAAAGTTGCCAGTTTACGGCTAAGATCAGACTAAGCTACATGTTATTTTTCATCTTGTATTTTGTCAGCATTTTTTACTTTAAACTGCTTTAAACTGAATTCTAATGTCAAACAGAAACATATTTGATACTAGTTTGATATTTCAGACCCTTTGGTGTCTTTGAGTGATTTATCCTGAAACCAACATTAAGATATAACGACCCTGTTGATGTTAATAATTTGGTCTACTCAATGCTTTAAACTGAATGCTGATGCTAATAATAATCAGCATGCTATGGTCATTCAGATACTTCACTTTGGACTGCTGTCGAAATCAAAACCCAGTTTGAAAATTTGGGATTTTGCACAATATCAATGAAATTTCCTAAACTCGACTGAGTTATCAGCATTGCCATTCCTAATGAAAGGTAGAATCATCTTGAGACCAAGACAGTCAGAATTGATTTTCTGGCAAATGACAACCATCATTACATTCTAGAAAACAGCAAACATGGTATGAGAGGAGAAGGTTAATACCTGGCCACGTCGCGGCCACCTGGTGGCATCCGGGACTTTTAGAAAACCCCCATGTGGGCAGTGATGAGGCAAAATACCCTTCCAGTATTTCAAGGAGAATTCCAGGTGCTGTTTATAAGAGGGCTGTCTCATTTTATTGATATCCTGTCCTGGTTTAAATGACACAAATGTTGAATTGGATTTCTAAATATAACCTCCATGAATGGAGACACTCTAATAGGGCTGTGTAAGTGGCAGGTCAAACTTGCATTCAACTGACAAAAAAAAAAAATCTGCTCAGCCCTGACAGCGTGTATTTGTGTGTGTGCCAAGATTGTATAAGAGCTATTGAGGCTGCCAGAGTGATTGGCCTTTATGTAAGTGAGTTGGAGAGCTCCTTAAGTGTGTGTGAGTAAGTGATTGTGTCTTAAAGTGTTGTGGCCTGCTCTGACCCATGGGCACACAGCAGCCCTTTCAGTGTTTTGCTCTATCTAGCTCTTTGGTCCTCTGTGCTCCTGCAATGTATGCCCGGGTTCCTTTTCATTGTGCAAGTTAGGTAAAACTCTAAAATGTCTGAATGAATGTGAGTGAGCTTATGCTTGGGAGAGAATTACGTTTTAGAGATTTCACATAAGATAATGTTGTGTGTGAAGCATGGTTCACATTCAGTGGATTTTTACCTTCATTTAACCACATAAGTCAACTGAGAACCAATTCTTGTTTACAATGACGACCTGGACAAGAGGCAGCAGCAAAAAGCAAGACATCTGGGACATTGGCACATTAACGTGCCACATGATGACACTGGCTGATGTGCAACTTACAATTTACAAATGGTTGTGGAAGTAATTGATTTCATTTTCAATTGTCAGCTCTTAAGTGACTTCATACTTAAAGGTGGGATGAGTCATTTTGAAGAAAGATAGTTGATTCTTGAGTATCATTCCCAAGTCATCAAATACCAACGCTTTGGGGTTATGGTAAATGGGAAACAAACAAACTGGCCACAAAACAGAAAATGTTCGTGCTCCCAGGTCCTCAGATGCCGACGCTTTGGTAACCCAAGGCCAAACCTGGGAATGAGACTCAACAACTATATTTCTCCAGAATGACTCACACCACCTTTAATATGAACTAGAAGGTGAGGTTAGGAAACGTGGAAAAAGAAAAAACAGTTTCCTGGATGATCCATTGAACTTCTTTTAAAGCTGAAAATGTGTTTTGCCATTTATCCAAATGGATTCAGGTCGACTGGTAGGCAAGTAATCCTCAGCATTTATCCTGTGGGGATGCAATACTACCTATAATGATGTGTATTTTAATTGAGGTCACCCGCTCAGAACGCATCAAACATGAACCAAATTCTGTCCCTGTCCCTTTATTTTACCTTCATTTAACCGTAAGTCTATCGAGAACCAATTCTCATTAACAATGACCTGGCCAAGAGGCAGCGGCAGGAGGCTGACAAGAGTGAGGTTATCTATTGAAGAGTTATTCATTTTTATCATGTCTCTAAAGAAAACACTGTCTTAACTGAGTTAAAAGTTAACTTAAAAACTAGTCCATCATGCCATTTTCAGCATTTCCCTTCATGTCCGTTGTTTTGTGTGTTGAGAGTGTTTTTGTATTTACACAGTATAGCATTTCTGTATTCTAAGCACTTTCCTCTTTATGCATATGCTTTCACTCTTTTATATGTTTTGCCATTTGCGGTACTTTCCTATTTAAGGGCACTTTTCTCTGAATGTTTTTGCTCTCACTCTCGTATGTTTTTTCCCTAAGGGCCACCGTATGTAGAAGATTAATTCTGCATTATTCAGAGAAAAATGCCTCTAAAATGGCACTGCTTTTCCACAACATTAAGTGGTGCATGCCTCCAGCTGACTTACTCGTGCTCTGTCCTTTTGTACCTCACTGCTAAAGGTCTGTGAGATTTTGCCAACAGACTATAATATTTCATTGTTTTTCCCTCTGTGTTTCCATAGCAACTCTTCAACTGCCAGGCCTTGAAGAAGCTGAGCATGCCCGATAACGACCTGTCCAACCTGCCCACCACCATCGCCAGCTTGGTTAACCTCAAAGAGCTGGACATCAGTAAAAACGGTAAAAAAAAAAATTGTGCTTTAAAACAAACCTTAACAAAACTGAAACTACTGCAAACTTACCGGCCTTCTCAGCTACAGTTTGAATTACCATCTATCCAGATACAGTATATGGAGCAGATAAGGAAACAAAGGCACTTGTGAGTTTTCCTGCAGATCTCAAATAGCTGAGAATAAAGAAAAACGTAATCACAATAATTTCACAAAGTATTTAACCAAAATGTGATGCTGTCTAAACACTTGCCAAACTGTCAGTAGATAATAATTCCCTGTCTTTATAGGAATTTACTCAACGAAAAGTTGAAATAAGAAACTAACGCATGCCACCACATTTCCTTTTCCCTCTCTGTGTCTCCCTCCTACAGGTATCCAGGAGTTTCCAGACAATATAAAATGCTGTAAAGGCCTGTCTGTGGTGGAAGCCAGTGTCAACCCTATCACCAAGTAAGACACTGACACACACACTGTAGCAACACCTCTCACTCATATCGTGACTGTTGAAGTTGAACATTTCCTGAAAAAATCTCTCTCGTAAGAGAAGTTGGCAGCAAATATTAATGTGTATCTAAAGCACAGAGGTTTGCTTTGCGAGTTCGACACAGCTGCACCAACAAAAACCTGAAAAATGTCGGGCTAATTTATCTGAGCATACAGCTTCTGGATAACAACCTCAGGGAAAACAATGACTCTATCATCCAAACAATGAACATCTCTCAAACACTTTCAAATTGGCTCGTTTATGGTATTGTTTTCACTGAGAACCATTTTCTGTTGGAAGTTTAAAATAAAATACACTGCGTCCCAGAGATTTGCATGTTCTGTTGATAGCATCAATTTTATCCTCCAGTTTGAGTGGATCTGGATTCAGTTCAAGATGTAATGGATTGTTCGATGCATTTGCCATGTTTTTAGCTTTTCGGGTAGATTTTTCTTTCATAGCCCAACATCAAGAGATCCACGCTGTTCTTGTTTGTTTTCTGCTTTCACGTATTCCAATCCATGTGTTTATTGCTCCACAGACTCCATACTAACATACAACCGTATATATCCTATTGGCTCCACTACGGTATAGGTAGACAATAGGAATTCCTGCAGTAAATTGCTGGTGTTATTTACCATTCTGATATGAAGCTACTGGAGCATCAGGTGTTATTCTAGTAATTGCTGTTTTCCTGTCGGCGGTGTAATGTCCATGAAGCACAACTGGACTCAACCACACAGTATACTGCAGACAGATGCTTATTTTACTTTGTGTGTGTGTGTGTGTGTGTGTGTACGTGTATGCGGGAGATGAGTCATCTGCAGGCAGCAGTTAGCTGTTTCTACGGAGTTGTTATGGGAACGTTGTCCGTGTTTTAATCCATTGAGGCCCTTCAAAGACACACTTTCTTTTTCTATCTATCTTATTCTTCTTTTGCATATGTTCTTATTTTCTTTCTTTGTTTCTTTCTCTCTCTTCCAGACTCCCAGATGGTTTTACACAGCTCCTGAATCTGACCCAGCTCTTCTTAAACGATGCCTTCTTGGAGTATCTGCCAGCTAACTTTGGCAGGTAAAGTAATGCATGTTGTTAGTGTGTGCAGGTGTGTGACTGTGTTGGATGGGATGTTTTTACATACTTCAGGCACCACAGACTGTAATTCAATGTGACTAGTAACGATTGTAATGAATCCATATGAAAAGAATGGCTACATCCAGGTTCATCAGCCTTTATATGTATTGCACATAATTCAATTGTTTTTAAATATTCAAAGAAGCTGAGCATGCTCAATAAGCCTGAGGCTTTAGACTTTGGTGGACTTTTATCTTTGGGACATCTTTTATATTTGGGGCATGTTTTAATCTCACAAAAAATATACATAAATTCCTCTGTGTCATTCCTGTGTGTACTTTTTCAGTATTTTATTAAAGGTCATGGTAGTGTATTTTTCATTTATTCCTGCTGATTGTATCCATTTCTAACTACTGCCGGTTTGCAAATTGTGTTACTGTGAGTGAGGGCGGCTGATTCCGATCAGTTCATGATGAATGTGGAAACTCATTAGTGACAAATTCCTCTAAATTGAAACATTTGAATGTTGGTGGTGATCATCTGTAATGATGAGGCGTCATCAAACATTACCGGTCAGTTATTATGAATCATTATTATTACTTATTTTGGAAATAAGTTTGACTCTAGTTCTGCAGTTTAAATACGGACAAATGGGGCCGGCATTTTTCTGCATTTTTTGTAACAATTTAAACAGTAAATCAAGTTTTGGTTTATGTGCCTTCTGTCTTTAAGACTCTCCAAACTACGGATCCTGGAGCTGAGAGAGAACCACCTGAAAACAATGCCAAAGTAAGACAAATTGCCATATGTGTGTGTGAAATAGATAGAAGAGAAAAGGAACACGCAAAATTACATTTTTTACACATCACTAGGTGCAACTGTGCACACACACAGATGCTCCATGATATCACCGAGTGTATGCATGCTTTCCCAGGTGTCCAGATTAAAACTATATTTACCCCTGGCAGGTGTTCTTGCATACTGATGAAGCCTGTTATAACAGCAATGTGTTGGCTTTAAATGTTTCCTGTTTAACGTTATGTAGCTGAATTTATCCCTGTATTCATAGCCTCACTATGGCCACAGATGAAGCCACTATGACAGCTGTATCTAACAGAGATAACCTTCAAAGTTGTGTAGTAACAGTGTAATTTAAATTACAAGTGATAGTGAAAAAGCAAAAATATTAATGCCAATAATACTACTGCTGAAATTACTACTATTTGGTTTCTTCAAATTTGAAGATGGTTAAAGTGATCGCTGGTTGTTGAAGCGAACGAACATGTAGGAGGCATTTTGATTAAAATCCAAAGTAAAGCTGTGAACACTTGGTTTTCTCCTAAGATTTTCAAAAGGTGCAAGGGAATCACACCATTTCTTCTCAACTAGCTAACTTGAGTAAAAAAGAACAGTATTATTTGTTCAAAATGTAAATGAAACATAGAAAAAGAAAGAAAAAGGAAGGATGTAACTTTAATAAGCATCCCTCCGCACGAAACTGAAGCACATTTGCTAAGGTTTTGTTTTTCTTGCCCTAGCGTAATGATTAGAGCCGACAGGCCAACATCCTAAAAACTCCTCTCTCATGCAAGGACAATGGGTGGGATGAGATAATTGCCTGCCACAACTCAGTGAAAAAAGATTGTATATGAACACTTTATAAAGAATCTGTTTGTGCAGATAGCAGAGCAGACATTGCTCTTTATGCTGTCACTGATACTTTATCCTTAGCTTTAGTGTTTTGTGTCCCAAAGCCAAACTTGACCCATTTTAAGCACTACATGCTACAGTAAACGTGTGCTTACAGCAGTTGGCTTGAATGTAAAAGCTGTTCTGTTATTCTCTCTAAATGTATCTAATTATGGATTCTGCATGCTTCCTCAATGGCAAATTAACCACTGCCACATTATCCGTGATACATTTAAATTAAAGCAAAGCAGATCGAGAATAAACAGCAGACTGCTGGACCCAATGAGCACAGAAATAAGAGTACTATAGGCTTTTTTCACAGCAGCCATTTTAACATGTAATAGTTGGGTAAACACAGGTGTTACTAATGATACTCATTACTGCTGCTGTTGTGCATGTCGGCTCACTGGAAACTAAACTAACACTAAATAGAACAGAACCTTAATTCGTATCATTGGTAATACCTGTGTTTATGTTACTTTTTCATGTCAAAATGGCTGCTGTGAAAAAGGTCTGTTATCACTTGCAGATCAAACTTAAAAAAAAACATAAATACATGTAATATAATTATTAAATGCCAACGTTTATCTTGGCCAAGTCAGTATATGAAAATATGAAACGTACATTATGTCATAATGTAGTAGTAATCAATGTATTCTGTCCTGTCAGGTCCATCCACAGACTGACACAGTTGGAGAGGTTGGATCTGGGTAGCAATGAATTCTCTGAAGTGGTGAGAGTGATTGCTGCCATGTTAATTTTAGTGTTTAAATCTACACTTTATATGTTTAACATAGAAGATTATTCTTTGTGATCACAGGAAGCTGAAATATGAATGTCTTACAGTATGTAGTTGGACTATATTTGTTTGTGAAGAGACAAAGGTGAAGGGAGAGAAGAAGGCAGAAACACAGATGCTGTGTCCTGTTTTGGGGCCCGCCGCCGCCTTCAAAGTTCACATTTCAAAACCTGATGCGGCATATGGTGAATCCTCTGTGGGCTATCTCTTTTAGGCAGGAGCAAGATCAGCCTACTATCCTTTAGTTGGACACTGAAATGGGACACAGTGACATGACTGAGGAAGAGAGGGCTGGACGGAGGCTAACTTGGGGGGGGGGTTAGACAGGAAGTCGACTATGACAGGAGTAGGTTGGCTATATGGTCTGCTTCCTGCCAAGAGAGAGAAAGCATGGAGGGAGAGATTGCCAGCCTCACCCACTCTGCCAACATTTTTTTTTTTTTCATTCTTTTTTATTTATGCCAAAGAGTTGGTCTGAAGATGCACTCAAGTTATTTTTTGGATCGGTACATGCTCACAACATAAGTGCTGAGATGGTTTCCTTTGATGTTAATAATTCAGTTGTTTTCATATAAATAGCTACATTTATGAGCTGATCTATATGCCGTCGGTATATGCTGATATGGATTTCCTCTGTTTGCATGTCAGCCGGAGGTGTTGGAACAGATCCACAACCTAAGAGAACTGTGGCTGGATAACAACTCTCTACAGTCTATACCAGGGGTAAGAACAACGACAGTGGGGGGATTAAAAAAAAAAGCTATTTTGAGATATTTAAATTACACTTTCTTTCGGATTTTTGCTGATCTCTGTCATTCAGTTGTTCCTCTTTCTCTCCTTACCCTCCCCCGCTGCAGTCCATAGGAAAACTTCGTCAGTTGCGGTACATGGACTTAGCTAAGAATCGTATTGAGACGTTGGACACAGATATTTCAGGCTGCGAGGCCTTAGAGGACCTGCTGCTGTCCTCCAACATGCTACAGCACCTCCCTGACACTATAGGTACACACACAAACACATACATACATGCACACACAAAGACACTGAACTTTCCCCACACTGGTGGGGCCTTGCAGTGGGCAGCAGCAGAGGACTGTCGTTGTACTGGGCATATCCCAGGTGAGATCGGTTCTACGGCAGCTGTGTTAGAGAGTGGCGGAGCACAGATAACTAAAAAGTGTGAATAAGCATAAGGCTGGTGTTATTCTATATTTCTATATTTCTCCTACCGGCAATAATCCAATGAAAAGACAAAAAACAACTATGCATTAATCCGTCTCTCAGCAGTCTCTGACCCTTCACGGGATGTTTTCACAATAAGAATATCGCCAACTCTATACTTTAAATCCACTTTTGTCAGTGAATTGTTTTTTTTTTTTTTTAAACTGCACTTCAGAGCTGAGTGTATATTTATTTGAAGAGCAAACAACTTTGGATGTTTGTGTGTCCATGCCTGTGTGTGTGTGTGTGTGTGTGTGTGTGTGTGTGTGTGTGTGTGTGTGTGTGTGTGTGTGTGTGTGTTGTGTGTGTGTGTGTGTGTGTGTGTTTGCATATTGCGTAGGAATGTTGAAGAAACTGACAACATTGAAGGTAGATGACAACCAGCTGACCTCACTGCCTAACACTATCGGGAGGTAAGGACCCTGCACACACGCACACACACACACACACACACGCTCACACACTCGAATGATAAAGCGATGTAGACCTTTATTTTGAACTTCAACAGTATTTTGTCAGATTTTCTCAGCAGGTTTATCTTTGGTGGGTTGTTGTTTTCCTTGTTTATTACTGTTAGTTGATGTGTTGTTATGCTGGCTGATGATTGGGGGGTTCTGTGTGTTGTGTTTGCTGCGTTGCTGTGGCGTTAGTGCGAAGCCCAAGCAAGGGTGAGTAACATTAGCCTACTGGATCCAGGGGTGCGTTCAGAGACAGACAGATGTTCAACTGCGTTACCGATGCAAACACGCCCAAGCTCACGAGTACGTGAGGCTGTGGGACACATCTTGATTCATGCAAATTACATGCAAACATAAACTTTAATTCAGTTTCAAGGCATTGTGTGATAATTTTACTTTTTCTTCACATTTGCCTCCCAAACTTTTTTCATTATTTGGACTTAATATTTGAATATAATGTACCTTCTTAATTGAAAATGTGCTATAGCAATTCTTCTAATCTACACGGCTGGGACGGAAATGATTGCATGTAAAATGATTACAGTCAATTTGATTACAATAATTCTTATTATAATCCATCACAGTCCAAATTCAATCGCAGAAATCAGATTAGTTGCTTTTGAAAAATTGATGAACGTTTGTTGAATTAAGCAGAAACATTTCTGAAAGGAAACACATTCTGAATTCTGAAGTAATGTCACTGTCATTTCATCTCTGTATACTTTAGAGATTGCTTTCAGGCAGGATTTTGTTCACATTACAAACTGCAAATAAGAACAACTTGTCTGTTTGACTCCAGATAGATTAGATCGTAAGATAGAGGCCTACACTAACAGAAATATTGAATTAAATCAGTGAGTTTGAATAAATTGATTCTGTTCCTTTTTGAAACAGTCGAGTAGTAACTTGGCTCATCCCCTCATTATAGTGTGAATCAGCTAATCTGTGATGGATTACATTTTTCAAACACTGAACTGAGTGCTATTTAACATTCATTGACACGTAATTGAATTAAATGTCAACCTCTTGCGATTGTATCTGAACGCTCTGAAAACATTGTGTCTTCCTGAACAAATCCCAGGTTTTAGCCTCAATAAGTAGTGCTGTAGATCCATTGCTTCCCCTCTGATTGAACCAAAAACACCTTAAAAGATCCTTTTCTTACCCCTCTTAGTTTTTAAGTTGTTTACTAATGATGAATGTGATCATATTTCTGCTCCTCTGTTTCTTTATTGGACAATTCTTTTACATTACTGGACAAGTGTACGTAGTTCGAGTCTAAACAAATAGGTGTATGTATCTGAAGAATTTATGTCTGTACCAACCAGTACTACACTGTATTTCTCTCTAGCTGCATTAGTACAGTGAGATATATACTGCATATATACGCTGAGCTGAATCAGTAGATTTATTTACTGTACTGTATTGTTGTACAGCATGTAGTGGATTCAATTTAAATCAATAAGCAATGCTAGTTTTCTATTGCAGTTACTTTCATCTAAAGCGTAAGGAAAGTCTTATGTTTTGCTGTCAGCCCTTAAGCTTTTAAGGCCATTGCAATATTACAGCTATGTAAAGGGGTTTGGGGACTGCAATGTGAGAAGGTTCTCCCACCGTCTGTACAGTACATGTCAGTCAGTGTGTCAGTTATCACTGTTGAACTTAAAGCTGTTTTTTTGCAGCAGAGATATGTAGCCTGCTAGTCCCCGACTGCTGTCTCTGAGTTTGCACTGATGTAAAACTGCCTTTTTGCTCATTTAGCTGCTGAGTGTGCACGCAGGGTTTAAGTTTCTTGCTGAGTAAACTTAGCACCTGGTGAGGACCAACACAAAGACATGATGGCTCCACACACAAAGGAGATTTGAAACTTGTGTGTCTTAAACCACCGAGCGACTGTGTTTCCTTGCAGCACCTGGCATTGAGCGTAGGATTATGGAGCAGGTTGGCAGATGGCAGCCAAATAATCTTAGGAGTGCTATTAAAAAGTCATATTTGACACATTCAACTCAAGCTGTATATCTTTTTTGTGGGAGCAGTAAGCTACATTTTTCACTTTCTTACACAAACAACACTGAGAAGTAAATAATAAACCAAGCTTAAATCTTAATATTTAATATGAAACTCCTCTCCTCTCCTCTCTCCTGTCAGACCGTATGGTGGCCCAGATGGTCACGGTCCATTGGGAATAATAATAGCAGACTAATGCAGTGTTAACAGTGACAGTACATTAATGTAAAATTGTTGTCTCATTAGCATTAGCCTGCTGTTAGCGTGCTGCTAGGCCAATGGTGGCAGTCAAGGGGGAGGGGGTCAGGGTGTACTGTAGAGGGCCTGCCATGGATGTTACTGTGACTCTTGGTTGAGTGGAGAAGTTGAGATCCAGGTTGAAGAATTTCAGACACCAAAGGAGATAAAGTGGGAAAGAGAGGATGGGTGGTCAGCAAATGAGACCAAATTAACGCAGGTAACTCCAGACGAACACCGATTGGTTGGTTGAGTCTTAATTTATTGACGGGGGCTGGTGGAATAATTGGATGATTCTTCAATGTGATGATCTTTTCCTTCTCTCAACACTCTCTCCTTCTAAGTTGTTGCTATAAGGACAAATTTCCCTTCTTATCGTAACATGTTACAGGATAAGGCTGGTGTCATTCTCTATTTTTCTTATTGTCAGCAAATCCCAGGAAAAGACCAAAACCAACAACGTTTCAATCCTTCTCTTAATACTTTGCCACATCCCTTGCCAACTCGAGATGTTAATAGTTTTATTTAGTTAAAAAAGGCTCAGTAATGTCCTTAAACAACAGGGATCTGTAGTTGTTTTATCAAGCACACTGAAACAGGAGGAAATAGTGCATTTGTTTGGACTATTTTCAGCTCCAGTATTTTCTAACAGCAGGCAGGTGTGTGTGGGATCGAGTGGAGAATAAATTGTGTTTGTTGATGATAATGAAGGAACATGTCAACCAGTGCAACGTGTGGCTCACGGATGTGTTTTTAATACTTTGTGGACAGTTATGGAGCTCTGTCACACAAGTGAATAAGTTGTATCGTAGGTAGTGTAGTTGGATAAATTCATTCTTGGTTAAGTCTTTCCACAGGATTTGTTGACAACAGGAAAACTAAAGAGTAGCACCACCCTTATCCTTTTAAAACCCGTGTCTAAGTAATCTAAGGTTGCAGCAGAGATGTTGCAGCCTGCAGAATAATTTCCTTTCTTTCTCTGTCATTTTCTCTGCGTCCCTTCCGTTCTGCCTCTCTCCCTCTCACCCAGTCTGTCTCTGTTGGAGGAGTTGGACTGTAGTTGTAATGAGTTAGAGTCGTTGCCTCCCACTATCGGCTACCTGCACAGCCTGAGGACCTTCGCTGCTGATGAGAACTTCCTCTCAGAGCTGCCCCGGGAGGTACGATGAACACTTACATATAATTACTGCAGTGCTGACTTGCTAATTTGTAGAACTATATGATTGATGGAAATTAATCAGCAACTATTTTGATAATCACTTAATTGTTTAAGTAATTTTTTAAGCAGAAAACACCATCAATTTACTGCTGTCAGCTTTAAAATGATGAAGATGTGCTGTTTTTCTTTGCTTTTGATGACAGGAAATAGAATCTCTTTGGGATTTCTATTGTTAGTCAGACAACATAAGCACTTAAAGGTGTCACCTTGAGCTCTGAGAAACAGTGATGTGATGACATTCACAGACTTAACCATAAATCAATTATATATATATATCATACATAGCACTGTAATGTAGCTTGTTTATGGGTGTCCTTCATGCAGCAGATCTTTTTTCAGTACCAGATGTGATCTGATGGTTTATGCATGTGTGTGTGTGTGTGTGTGTGTGTGTGTGTGTGTGTGTGTGTGTGTGTGTGTGTGTGTGTGTGTTACAGATCGGTAACTGTAAGAACGTGACGGTAATGTCACTTCGGTCCAACAAACTGGAGTTTCTTCCTGATGAGATCGGACAGATGACCAAACTACGAGTCCTTAACCTCAGTGACAACAGGTACACACACACACACACACACATACAGGCAGGTGATGACACTGTGACTCAGTAGTGACAATAAGTACACACACACACACACACACACACACACACACACACACAAACGCAGGCAACACTTTCTCAATGGCCGCTTTGCTTCTGTAGCTGCTCTCACGGCCTGCAGTTGCCATGGGAATGGGTGAGTGTGTTGCCATGGTTACGCGCTCTGCAGGCTGTACAGTGCGTGGGCAGAGGGAACATCTCTCTTTTCTTTCTCACCCCTCCCTCCCTCCCTCCCTCCCTCTGTGTGTCTCTCTCAGGTTAAAGAATCTACCGTTTACCTTTACAAAGCTGAAGGACCTGGCAGCTCTCTGGCTTTCTGACAATCAGGTATCTCTGTCCTCCCACACTCTCTCCCTGTGAGACTGTACCGGCAGCACAAACACTACTTTATATACATATTAATCAGATATCAGGCCTTGCCTAGAGACAGGCTATTTGTAAATGAAGGTTTTCATTTCTAAGTTCTCCTGTTTGTCAGTGTTTTGTATCATATTAGTCTCTCTGTTTTGTTAATGTTAATTTGCCATAAATGCTGTTTGCTCTTAATGCAAACTCAATGCTTCCTCCTTCTGTTTCATATTTAAAACCCAAAAGCAAGTGGTATTATTCCCTTATTTTTCCTGGAAGACTTTTATTGTGAAACATCCGTTAGGAAGTGTTGAGTTTTACTTATTTTACTTACTAAGTATGGCATGACTCTGTCGTTGTACTGATGGAAATAATGGTGTGCACACAATACTACTGAATTAACTGTACCTGCCATTACACGTAGTATATCGGTGATTTTGTTGTCCTCCTTCCCTCTGTGTTTATTTGGGACCGGCTGTTATTTGTGTAAACAGAGCAAATTTAGGTTTTGGTACCTAATAATTAGTTAATTATCTTTTTATGCGATAATTCTTGCCTATAAATGCCTATAAATATACTCAGTAACAGTGCCGAGGCTAACAACAATCTGAAACCACTGTCTGATACAGTGGTGTAAATGAAGTATGTAGAGTTATTATACCGTCCATGCTCACATCTTATTTTTATTTTTTTTCAGCAATACAAAAATATTCTTCATGACATTTGAAGTGGAGTTTAAAGTTTAATCAAAGTTTATTTGAAGTTGTTGGATCCTTTACTGAAGTGCTAAAGAAGAAAGCTAATTTAAAATTCAAATGCAATTTATTAAACCGCAGTTCAGTCTTACATTTACATTTAAAATTGGCACTTATGTTTGCATATTGTCCAACAAAATTTAAACCCAAATTCAGTCACGCCATGTGCACTTAGACAGCTCGAAGATTCAAATGGCATCAAAATTGACATTACATTTCCATACAGCGCAGAGGCTTTATGTTATTATCTTTAATTTATATACCAAAACAGAAGGTAAAAATGCAGTTAAATTAATTCATTTTAACTTTCTGTGTTATTATAATTTATAATTCCATCACATTACCATTTTAATAGATATTAATCAGTGTTTTTTGTTACGAGATGAACATGCAAATTAAAGAGACATTTAACAATTCATTTGACTCACTGATAACAGATAGCAAAATTCAATTTGTATTACAAATATAAAATGCGACACAGTGTCTCCACTGTTTGAAATTCGGTTTTATTATTGGCAAAATTGATTTGCAAATTCTTTACAAGTGATTTACATAAATTCTGTGGTTAGGTGTTTCACACCTGTCAGTCAGCCGGTTTCGTTCCAGATCGACCTCTGAATAAAGTGAAGAGTCCTGTAGCCAATCAGATATTCTAATAACCAATCAGGGAGCAGCATAGCTTTTTGTGCATCACAATTAGAGATAGGAGGTTTAGATTAGGAAACAAGGAATAAATGTGATCAGTGAACGTCCCCACAAGAATACTAATATAAACTGTGTGTGTGTGTGTGTGTCTGTGTTTGCAGTCCAAGGCTCTGATCCCACTGCAGACAGAAGCCCACCCTGAAACCAAACAGAAGGTTTTGACCAACTACATGTTTCCTCAGCAACCGCGACATGACGAGGGTACAAACTTTGTGTGTGTGTGTGTGTGTGTGTGTGTGTGTGTGTGTGTTTGTGTCATATAATGTGTAGACGTTGTTCAAAGACATTTAAAAAAAGCCACAGAATGTTTTAAGTGTGTCTGACACCGTACATACAGCCCTACTGTATAATGGCAGCTCTTCTAACCCCACCCTTGTGTGTGTGTGTGTGTGTGTGTGTGTGTGTGTGTGTGTGTGTGTGTGTGTGTGTGTGTGTGTGTGTGTGTGTACAGATTACCAGTCGGACAGTGACAGCTTTAATCCTACTCTGTGGGAGGAGCAGAGACAGCAGAGGATGACTGTGGCCTTTGACTTTGAGGATAAGAAAGAAGAGGAAGACAACTCTGGGAAGGTCAAGGTCAGCTCTTTCTCTCTCTGTTTCTGTCTGTCTGCCTGCCTGTCTGTCTGTCCGTCTGTCTATCTGTCTGCATGACATTTTCTCGGTTTAATCATCCGTACAAACTGTGAGCGAATGTACTGACAAAATATGTCTTATTGAAGAAAAGGTTAAAGGTACGAGAAAAGAGTGCAAAGGAGTATTAATTTATAGAACTATATATCTACATATCGGCAACTTTTTGCATCTTTATCCCTGATAGAAATACAAATGTGTTCTGAATATCTCATTAATCTTTCAGCCACTGAAATCTGAGATGTTTCACTGAGATGAAGTTTTGAGATTTTAATATTTTTGTGGTGAGTAACCTCGAGGTCATCAAATTAAACCTTCGAAAGTGCATTTACAGTTCAAAATATATTATATTGCTTTTATATTTCTCCTCTTATTTCAGTGGTTGTTTGGAGTGTCTGAAACAATACTGAACAGTCAGTACCACCATGACAACAGTCAAATTATTATTGGCAAGAAACTAGCATGAGACAACAACTAAACAATCAACAAGAAATGAATGAAAGACATATTTTAACGAAATTTATGATGTCTTGTTTGAGATGTTCTGAAGTTTCATGTAAGCAGACACACTTTTTCTTTAGTGATGCACCAATTGGGAAATTCTGTCTGTACTGTTTAATGGGTCACATCGGCATTTACGTTTCTCCAAAATCCAAGTTGGAAATAATCAACTTAAGATTTAGCTAGCATAAAACTGATGTGACACAACAGATAAACATCGGCCACTGATATCGGTGAATGCCATCTTATTTGCTGATAGGCCGATGTCAGTCAATAAGGCAAATATCGATACCGTTGTATCCTATTAATCGTAACCTGGTAGCATTCCTGCTCACTCACTGTGTGTGTGTCCTTTATTTGCATGTACACACTCAACCCATTTCCATTTTTTTGTGTTCAGGTGGAGATAAACCTAAAGCGCTACCCAACACCTTACCCTGAGGACCTTAAGAACATGGTCAAGTCAGTGCAAAGCCTTGTGGGTAAAAGCGTACACGCCGGACACGGGCTCCAGCACCAGCACCAGCATCAACACCAGCACCAGCACCAGCATCAGCTGAGCACAGGCACTGCCACCTCGGCAGGAACCAACATGGAACACACACACCTCAGCAAAGAACAGTACGAACCACCGTGGCCCCTGCCTCCCAAAGAGGTAGGAAACGCACACTCCCAGCCACACACATGCACACACTCACACACCAATGTATTCAGAATCACCACACAGCACATACGCACTGTAAATCAAGGTCCTGGGAACAACCGCAGTGGTCAAACAGAAGTGAAGTGGATGTACATTCATAAGCATTAGCCATAGTGAGTTGTCACCAAATGCAACAGTCTCTGTAGGATTGAGATCTGTGGTCATAAAGGTGTGAGACAGGCAGCACAAATCATCTGTGTGTGTGTATGTGTGTGTGTGTGTTTGCCAGGTGACAGACAGAGAGATGCAGGACTTCTCTCAGACTCAGCTAATGGATCAGGGATCAATGCATAACTCTGGCATCGACATTCCCAAGAGGAAGGACAAAGAGGACCTGACAGAGAGCTCTGAGGTTGTCACATAGTGTCCCATAAGCACAGTATATTCAAATAGAATTGTGTGAATTTGATGTTTTTTTGCGTGTTGTAATGCACTTTCATTCACATCGTACAATCATCATATTCATTCAGATGAATATGTTTTGTTTCTTGTGATCATTACCATTATTAGGGTTATACTTGAAGGGTAAAGTCTGTATTTTTAAATCTGGAGCTGGTGCTTCACGGCTGCCGGCTGCAGTGCTCTCCCTAAATACTGGACCGAGCTCAAAACTTGTTGTCCCCATTAGTCACTTTGACACAAAAAAATGAGAAAATAGCGCCCAGGTTGAAAATAACGACGTTACCCTTTAAGGACAATGTAGACGAAATGTTCTACATCAGAGCTTGGTCATAGGTTAGTTAAGGAAGTCTCATAAGCTTATTTTATAGTTGTTTTTTTCTATAGAGGAACCGGGTCTCCTTCTACGGACTCTGCCATGGTGATGTTTTTCTGTCTTACTGTACTGTATGCCACCTGATATGAACCTGTGGGTTTTATCTTTCCGCAGGACTCGATGGGCGGCTCTCCCAACGACATCCGTATCTCGGACATGAGGCCCACCCTGGTGGAGCCACCGATGTACAAACCAAAGGTGGTGCTGCTGGGGAAGGACAAGAAAGGTAATGTAACTCTGTAATTCTGTATGTACAGCAACATAGAGACAAACATAGACACAAAGAGCCTCATACATGTAGACACACGGGTGCACACATACGGTTCATGCAGTAATTTAATGTGGTCTATTGTAAAGCGCTCTGGGGCACGTTGTAATAGTGTCCTCTAATTAGTCATGGTGGTAAGCGGATTAATTTCAGCACATAACAGAGAGAGGGAGGGAATACCATAAACCTCTCCAGTGAATCTAGATTCCAGTCTTAAGTGTTAAGCTTTTAGCTTTGACTCTTTTTTTTACTGATTTTGCCTCAAAGGCCTCAGTTTCATCATTGGTAAACTAAAGGCAAGGAAGTTTTACTAATGAACCCAAAGCTACTTTTACTGCCCTATCAAAAATTCTAAATAATAGTGTATACAATACTATTACTATAAAGTATATTATCTGTTCTCTGTGACAAACTCTGTCTAATTCAAAGCTCCATCATGTAATCTTCTCCTGTGTCAGGGAACTCAAACTGCTTGTCTGTCCTTGTGAATGTAAATTCTTAACTAAGGATCATTTAAGTTAATAAGTTTGTTTTATCAATATATTTGTATGTTTGACTCATGACCCTGCTGGTTTGGTAATTGATGAATTGATCTCCTCCTTTATGCCTCTCAGCAACTGTTGTGTCTGTTTTGATCCAGGCCTCTCTTCCAAAAGAGGTTCTTGATTTCAGTGGGACTAGTATGGTTGAATAAAGATTTTTAGAAACTGTTAAACCTATCTTTTATAACCAGGCCATCTCTTGTGTCAGTGCAGTGGACTCAATATTGTCCAAACATATAATGAGAGCACTAAAGGAATCTGGGTTAAGGGACAGATGATAAGACTCCGAAAGAGATGTGATTCTTCCACCTCTCATTAATACAGTATACAGGCTTCAATGAAATTCAACCCAAACATAATTCTGGATACACTTCCTGATTTTGTTGAAGCTCTCATTAGCTTTAAGCTTTGACAAAATAGTTTGCAGTTTAGTTTCAATATCCAAACAGTGAGCTGGGTTTTTAGGCTCTGTTGGTTTCCATGTGAGGATCATTTCTTCACTTTCCTTTTTCCCCCTCGACTTCCAACCTACACAAAAACACATCTGGAGCTGCAAGAAAGAATTATTTGAATTATTTATTTATCTTTGATTTACCAACTAATAGTGAAAAATGCCCATCACAATTTCCCATATTTAAAGGTGAAGATGATATTCAATTTCAAATTACATAAAACAGAGGAAATCACAAATGTTCTTATTTGGGAGCCTGTAACTAGCACATGTAGCACCTTTGTGTTTAATTTGGAGATGTGAAGATATATTGCGAGGCACAAGTTTGCAAAGTCTCAAATTGATGAGATGAAAAATGAATCGTTTTACACTTTCTAAACTACCTTTCTTTATCTACTTTGCTTGTATGACGTCCTACGACCCTCACGTCAGTAGCTGTATCAAAGACATCAGTTTCACTTTTACAGAGAAAAGTGCATTGTTTCGCAGTTTATACTGACAGAAATAAAAAAAAAAAGTATTCTATAATTTGATAAAGAAAATATAAAAGAAAATATGTTGAGTACATTTTTGTCTGAGAAATGTAGGAATCTTGTTCTGTCATAATTTGTCTTGAATCTCATTTTGTTAAAACAATCGGGATAAAATCCTATTGGGCTGTGTTTCCATGAAGGTTCATGTGCCCGGCCACAAACCGCTGCTTAAGCTGATACTTGTTTTGGGCAGAAATCAAACTTAATCAAACATATATCATAAACATATAATTATTTAGACATTGAGTATCTCTGATTGGATTATAGGGTCTCATTAAAACAGAAATTAGTTATGTGTGTTCATTCTTTCAGACATCAAACAGAACCGACTGTCACCATCGTTTTAAATATGGCCATCAAAGTGTGTGTGAAGTCAGCTGAACGTATCCTTAGATCACTACCAATACGAGCTATGTGTTATTGTGATATAGAAAGATATGCAGAAAGAAATCAAATCCAGGGGGATAAAGTACAGGGTGTTTTTTTTGTTAGACATGACAAAGACACTTTAGAAAGAAGAGGATGTGACATTTTCACTGAACAGAGAGCTCTGTCTCTCTACTGTCTATCTGCGTCCGTCTGTCCAGAGTCTACAGATGAGGAGGTGGATAAGCTTCACTGTCTGAACCACAGCGGCTCCTCAGCCACCTACTCCGACTATTCTCCCTCACAGGGCTCCTCCGGCTCCTCCAACCCGCCCGCCAACACGCACTCACACACACTGTCTCACTCACACCAACACAATCCCGCCCTGCCGGCCCCCAACAAGGACCAGGCCCCTCAAACACACTGGACCAACAGGTACACACACACACACACACACACACAAACACACACGAACACACATGCCTGCTTCATGTTCAATTTCACCACTGTCCCTCCATCCGACTATCTATCATCTCTTCTCTTTCGATTCCAACCTCTCCCCCCTTCAATCTCCTCAATATGTCATCTATCTATCCAGTCACTCCATCCATCCTCTCCTCCCTCCATCTTTTTGTGTCTTTCTCATCTCTCTGCTGCTCAGTCAAGGTCAGAGAGACTCATTAGGATGCTGCAGACTGTGCGTTCAGGATTCTCTCTCTTTTTTCTGTCTCAGCTTGCTTCTCCCCTGCTCCAAAGCTGCCCAGGTTTCAGTACTATCTACAGGATTTATTTTTTTACACCAAAATGTAAAAATAAACAAAAAAAGAGTCTTGGTCCTCCTACTAAAGTTGTTACTCTGATTGCAGTGCACTTACATATGATTAGGTTTGACAGATTTGGAATGAATAATAGCATTGAAAACTAATATCCAAAGTGTTTCGATGCTGTTTTGACTTCTAATCAGAAATGTTGCAGCTATAAACAACAACGAATGTATCAACTGCCATATTTATGACATCTGCACAATACTCAAGATTGGAACCTGAAGCCTGTAAGATCAATGTTAACAGCAACACCTTAAAAACATAATGTTTTCTTGTTGGGACCACAATATGTGCTGACACATTTTAGAGTTAAACAAATTTACTTGTCAAGACTTGCCAAAGCTGTTTCTAACCTACGTTATCTTTGGCATTCTCTTGTTACTTTTGAGCCAACATATTAATTGATAACAATAAATCTGCAATAAGCTAATTATTGTCTGATCTATCGTCTAGCTCTAATTTTTATTGTTGTGCAAGCTGTTGTATCAACGTCTGTTCAAAGTAGAAATGCTTGCTGGCTTACTGGCACGTCATTTTAATATCGGGGCATTGCTAAAATCCTTTATTCATGTCACTAGTTTCTACTATTTTACATCCTTGATCATCATGACGGAACAAAGATCTAATGTGTTCACATTATCCCCTCTTGTGATCTAAGGATTCAAGAATCCCGTAGCATATGTAGGTTGAATTTGTAACGTTCTAGTTCTCTTTTTCTGTTTCCTCTCTGACACCACCGGGTCTGAGTGAATTATTTTGTGCATTGTTTTAAAGGACAGTAACCTTTTCCATTGCTCTATCAATAGTACGTCTATAATAATGTTAAAAACAAATTTTTTTGTCCTCACTCTTCCCATGCCTCTCCTCTTTCGAAGGCGTCCCTGCAGGTTGAAAGCTCGCTTTGGTATTTTTTGACATTAAAATTGTCATTTCAGATGCCCCCGGGGTGATGTACAGATCACAATCTGTATATTTGTCCCTTTGTCTGTGTACTTGTGAGACGTGGTATTTGCAAACTGCAAGTGGCAGTGAGCGAGGTTGAAGGCATTAATATTTTCTCTTCAAGGCTGCTCTTGGGAACATTAATTACAACAAACATGGTTGTTGGCCAAATTGATCTTTCAGAGAGACATGAGCGAGAGAGGGGGAGAAAGTTATGCTGTTCCCAGTGCCCACTGGCTCTGATTAAATATACAGCACATAATAATGTAATATGGCAGTTCAGTATAATTCAGTTCATTTTATTATTTGCCACGGCATAATTAGTGTTTAATATTTTGTATCTTTGTAGACTGGCTCAGTCGTTCCCCAAGCCCATTGACTCAAAGCCCCTGCTATCTCAGAGAGAAACCCCTCCATCAGGAACCCTGCAGCAGCGCGGAGATCGACGACCACTGAGCGAGCCTTTTGACTGGTCCGAGGCCCCTCACTATGACAACACAGGTTTTGATGCTGAGGAGTCTCCTCTGGACGCTCCATCCTCTACTGGGAGTCAGGGAAACCCACCACTGGGCTCCAAACCCCGCAGCCAGTCCACACATGGGCGACGCCCCCTCCTCAGGCAAGAGCGAATCGTAGGAGTACCTCTGGAGCTGGACACTCACACGCTTCCCTTCCACAGCAACCAACGCTCCACTCCAGACAATGACCCACAATCCTCCGGACCTCACAGCCAGAATCCTTGGCAGAACTGGACCAGAACCCCCAGCCCGCTGGAGGACCGAACCGCTTTTCCCTCTAAACTGGATATGACGCCCACTTCCAGCCCCAACCCTGATCGCAAGGACATAGACTCAAGGTAATTGAATGGAGCACTTACGGTCCCACAGTTAGATGTGTTTACTTGGAAGGCTTCATGACCCCCAGGGTTCATTTCAACCAATCATTACAGCAGCATTTGTACTCTTTTATCTGGTTGGATCATATTCCTGGATTAATATGGTGAATAAGTGAGAACCAGTGCTCTATAATAACCTTATCTTGGGTTTTGAAACTTCAGACTAGATTTAGATATCAACAAGCAAAAAATTTCAAATATGACCATATTCTGATTTCCTCAGGTTTATACAGTTATAAATTGAATTTACGTTTCCGTGTTATTAGCAATGCCAAACTGTAATGAGAGATGGTCAAATTACGACTTGAACAAATTACATGCTAGCATAATAATGTGCAGGAATCTGATCCCCTTCTTCATTTCTTATCTCATTATTACTAACACTAACCTGCTTCTAGACTTCTGAACAGCCACCCACATTTTATTAGCCATTAAAATCAAATGAATAATGGAGAAGAACCTGTCTTTCGGCGCCACTTTTGCTTAACTCTAACACTGCTCTAGTTCAGCTCATATTAGTATAACACTTCGTGTTCCCTTTCTCTTGTTCTTTGCTCCAAGGATGGAACAAGGTGCTGGGCCTTTGCCTGGCAGCTGGACATACCACAACAATCAGGGGGAGCAGGGCAGGAAGGATCAGCTAAGTGTCAGCGGAGGCAACAAGGTGACCGTGGTGATGAGTAAAAGCTCTGACCGCCTGTCCCCCATGATGAGGGAGACAAGATCCAAGTTTAAGAAGTCACAGAGCATCGATGAGATTGACATCGGCTCCTACAAGGTCTACAGGTAGGTTGAGTTTTGTTGTTTGTTATTGTTTTTATATACAATAGTAGTGCCAACATGTTCTGTCAGTAGGTCAAGTAATTGCAAAGTTGTAGCTGATTTCTATTGCTGCTCTCTCTACAGTATCCCCGTGGACAGCTACAGTTCATCCATTGAGCAGCAGACTAGTTTGGACCGTCCAGAGATGCCCTGTTCTATGGAGCAGACCAACATGTCACGGTCACAGTCGGCCCCCATGTTAGACGATGAGATGGGCTTCCCAGGACACGGAGGCGGCAACCAGAACCACGGGGGACAGAACCAAAAACCTGCCATCCCACATAAGGCGTATCACTTTGACCACAACTACAACCCCCAGGTTAGCAGCTTTTTGGCTACTTTGGGTTAAGTTTATATGGCACACTTATTACACATCCAGCATTTATTGAGCATTGTTGTTTTTAAGGTTGTGTTTCTGAAAACTTGGCGAAGTCACTCCTGAAGGAGGCTCTTTAGATGCTAAATGCTAAACTGTTCTTACCAGCTGGTCACTAACTATGTCTGTCTGCCGTTTGGTGCCGGGCAGATAGCGTTTACACTGCAGCAAGGTGAAAAGTTAAACCACTGGAGCTCAGCAAAGACATTATTTTCAGGGGTGTTTAATTTAAATAAAGTTTAATTTAAATAAACTTTAAGTTTTTTTTCTGGAAGATAACTAAACTAAAGTCTTAACTTAACAGTTTTGTATGACAACAACAATGGCTGAAAACTTTACATGGACTTACTGGTAACCATTCTAACCATTCAGGTGACCATGGACCGTCGGGTCCCTCCCCCCTTCCCTAACACACCAGATTATGTCAACCACTCATCAAAGGCCTTGGAGTACATCAATCAACCAGGGAAGACATTACCCAAGGAGTTGGTGAGCCCTCGGTATCGTGCATATCCACCGCTGGAGATGTTTTCTTTTCCCCAATCACCTATCAATCAGGATGGTCTGCCCAGCCAGCAGCAACAGCAGCCAGTCCCTACACAGCGCTCCAGGCCAGGGTTTTTGAGGAGAGCGGATTCATTGGTGAGCTCTACAGAGCTCGCTTTGTTCCGCAGAGTCCATGAAGCCCAGCAGGAGGCGCTGCAGGAAGCCCAATACAGACAGCAGGTAGGTGATGTGTTGCCTGAAAAAGTATGCTTGTTTTGGATGTGTGTGCTTTAGTTATATTGTGAACAATTCTTTCATTCCCCCACATATATTATGTTTATGTCCACTGTATTCATAGGAATATGGTGATGTATTTTTAGGATGCATTTTTTTTTTAATTCTGTTATCTGATGAAACTCTCCTCAGGCGGATCCCCCTCTTTATAGTCGGGCTCTTGTCTACTCCACCCCCATGGAGCACTCTGCTCTCACCAACATGGCCGACAGCCAGAGCCAGATGTTGCACAATAAGAGAAATGGTCGCTACGATGACGACTATACCACCTACCAGGAACAGAAGAAGCCTATGATCGGTTACCCGACCAAGAGCCTGACTCAGCGCCGCCCCCTGTCTGCCAGGAGCTACAGTACTGAGACCTACGGAGCATCTCAGGTCTGCCTGTCACCTAAGATGCTGATGTGAACTTGTTTTAACTTGCAGTCTCATAAAATCCACTATCTACTGATTAGTTTCTCGATTAACTGATTAGCTGTCCTGTCTATAGATGTCAGAAAACGGCATAAAATGTCCATCACAGAGTCGAAAGTGATGTCTTCAAATTTCTTGTTTTGTCCAACTGAAAGTCACAAACCTAAAGATTTTCAAATTATAATGATATCAAACAGAAAAAAAGCCTCATATTGTACGAGCTGAAAATGTTTTGCATTATGGCTTGAACAATTACTTACACAATTAATCAATAATATATTTGTTAATAGATAACTGAGGTCCCTTTAAATCACATTTATCACGTCCATCAGGTGAAACAATAGAACCTCAGACATGCTCTTTCTGTTGGTCCAAACAGCTTGAGTCAAAATGTATCCAGCACATTGTGTTTTCTTTTTGTTTTGTCAACAATTACCAACAATGCATATTAATCTACATTTTGCACACATTATGTAAATGCACTCATACAGTAATACTGGTGCAAAAGTCAATACGAGACACCAACAAAGACATAACAACATAAAGAGAGAGATAGAGAGAGAAAGAAGGAAAAGTCAATTATAGTCACTACACTTGAGATGAGCATTGCTTCATGTCCAGAGAAGGTTTTGTTAAAAAAGGCAAGAAGTACTGTTCTTGTAGCTCAACAATGAGTTACATGGAAAGCCTGGATGACTGAATTGGGCTATATAGCATTTAACTTTGACACTGGAGACCTGGAGGGTATTTGCACCCTGTCTAATAACATCAGTAAACCACCACTTGGCATTACAGTATCCATTTTCCACCAATTACCTGCAGCCCATTGTAGCAGCAGACTAAACAGAGTAGCACAGGTGTCCTTTGCCTCAGCCATATCCCTAGATCCCAAGGCATTCCCAAGTCCATAAATAATCCCTTCAGCATGTTCTGGGTTTGCCCCAAGTCAGACTTTCCAAAAATAGCCACATAGAGGTGGCCAGGAGCATACTGATTAGATGTGCAAAGCACCTCATCTGGCATATTTCAGTATGAAGGAGAAAGGGCACAAGAAAGAAACAAGGAGCTAGGAAACTAAAATTGAGCACTTATGACTGCAGACTTATTATCAACCCATATTCTGTAGAAAGCTTAACCTTTAGAATAAGCTCTAGCTTCTCCATAATGGTCTCAGTGTCTGTAAACTGCAGTCTTTGTGTCTATCTGGCTGGTATTCTCATTTAACCCTTGCAACACCACAGGATACTGATACTATAATATGCTATTAGCCACACTAGCAGCTTGGCTCTAGGGATGACAGTATTAGGCAGCTGGCCCCATTAGTCCGGGCTGAAATATGGAAACGACTTTCATGAACTCTTCACTCATCTTGTCAAGACTTCAATTTGTCCCATAGCCTACTTTGGTTTATGACTGAATACTTGCAAAACCAATGAAATTCTCATCAGCTTCAGCTATACTTTGTTTCATGTCAAAGCAAATGTTAGCATGCTAACATGCTAAACTAAGATGTGAACATGGTAAACATTATACCTGCTAACCATCAGCATGTTAGCATTGTTGCTAATGTTAAAGACACCTGACATATTTAACCTTATGAAACATACAGTATTAGCCAACAGTTGCCTTTTTGCACATCCATTAAATATGGAGCAACAAAAGCACTCAGTTGAAGTTTTGGTTTCTGTTTGTTTTTCGCTCTGTTTTGGTTTCCACATTGTTCACCAGCCAGTCGATACACAGAAGTTTACGTAGTTTTATCAGAGCTTTTTCACTGAGAGCCCTGCAATTAGGGTTGCAGGCCCTAAAACGTGTGCAGGTTTACATAAAATAATTGTATCACTATCAAGCACAACTTATATATATTTATCGTCTTTATAAATTATTAACCCTTGGTCCTCAGGCCCGTCCAGTGTCAGCTCGTCCCACCATGGCCGCCCTGCTGGAGAAGATGCCCCCTGACTACACTCTGGCAACCTGCCCTGAGAAGCCATCCGATGACACCATCAAAGTAAGACCTGTCGTACCACAGAAACCTGAAGACATCACCTCCAGGATGCCTGCCGACTGGAGGCAACAGCTACTTAGGCACATAGAGGCCAAACGATTGGACAGGGTACGTCTGTGCAATGCAGAAACACTGAAGAGGGAGATACACACTCACACACAAAGCATTCGGAGGCCCTCCCTGTCTGTATCTGTGTAAGTCTGTGTTGTAAGGTTGACCAGATATGTGTCTGGCTGCATGTGTGTCCCATCCACACTGTCGCTCTGTCAGCCTGACTGCACACGCACTACTAGAAAAGTTACCAAGATAGTTGTAGTAGATTGATTTTAATGTAAAACTAAATATAATAATCTTCTGTTAATTTAAGATACAGCCCTTATTCGGAGTCAGTTCTTGAATCTTTTGGTGTTTGATATTTGCACCTTCAGAATCAGTTCAATCACTTGTTAAGGGTGAAGATGTTTTGCAGAGCACTGTAATTATGGTGTATGTAAATACTAATCTAGGGAACAGTAGTGTGTTTAAAGGAATAGATGAACATTTTGGGAAGTACTCTTATTCGCTTTTTTGCCTAAAGTTAGATCAGAAGAGGGTAGTTGTGTGCCTGTTAAAGCACAACTTGTCACTTTTACACTTAGGTTTTTGTACAGATTAAACAAACATGATATAATGTATTAATTAGTGAGCTTTTAGCTGCTGGCAGGCATATTATTTTATCTTAAGACAGACCCAGGTTAGCTGTTTTCAGTATTTATGTCTCCTGGCTCTAGCTTTATATTAACCGTTTACAGGCATGATTGCGCAATCAATTGGCTCATCTAACTCTCAGCAAGAAAGTGAATAAACTTATTTTCCAAAATGTCAAACTTATTCTTTAATCAGAACCGGTCCCTCTACAGACAGGACAATCAGACATAGTAGGGAGGAGGTCTGGAGAACAGCTTCTAAAAACATGCTGGATTTTAATGGTTTATTTCAATTTTTACATGATCGACCTAACCTGTCACATGGTGCAAAAAGAAGTTGGCATTGACATTTGGAGATTGGGCTTATGGTTTGTTTATATAATCACATATGTTACTAATGGTAACTGGTAATAATCTGAAAATTTACATGATAATGATGAAATGAACTGATCCACCAGTTGTTGCTTGTATGACACAATGTTCTCTGTGTGTATTGACCGGTCACTAGCTAACATTTCTCTGTGCTTTCAGCAACTCTGCACTGTTGTTGTTGTTGTTGTTGTTGTTGTTCTATCAGTGTTTGTTTATCTGTTTGTGGAGCTCACAGTGTGTTGTCCAAAAACGCTGCAGCCCGCTGTGTAGGCTCCGCATCCCTCCCCCTACATTCACCCATGTCATGTGATGTTGTCTTCTCCAATCAGAGTGGTGTCCTAAAGCACAACACGCTCACGCTGGGCATGCTCTGTCAGGGCGGGGGTCACGGCCAGGGGCGCAGCAGCACTTTGAACTTTAACCTTTACAATAACACTAAGCATGAGCCCCCTGCTGGCCGCTGGCTGCCACTACCTCCTCCTCCGTCTGCTAACGCTGTGAGTATCCCTCTGAGAACAATGAACCCCTGGTACTGCTGTTATTACTGCACACATAGGTAATTATAGAGAGTAGCTGCCACTGCCTTCTTCAGCCAACTACAGCAACCATGAACTATTATTTAACTGTGTGCCATTATCGCGATTGTAATGTACATTATTATAACTATCTTTGTCTTCCACCTCGAGCTGTAAGTATCCATGTGGTGGGTATAATAGTTTTGGCAATCAGATCCCATGAATCTATCTCAGCATGACTAAAAGCTACTCAGAACATCTGGTGTAGCAGGCAATGAACAATTTCTGGTGATGGATTGGTATTTCAAGAGTTTGGACCCAACTGTAAGACACTTTACATGTTTCGAGGTTCCAAAAACATCAGATTGAAGCAGCTCAACAAACAGACATTTGTCTTCCCCGTCCTACAATACTTTACTATGTTACTGACACATGGAGCTGTGGGGCATTGCGTGTCTACACCAATTATAAAGGTTGTTTTATTTCACTACTACCTGCCACATGATACAAACAAAACATAGTCACTGTTTTGAACTAGGAACACTTTTAGACGCCCTGAAAACACCTTTGTATTACGTGCAACGGGATGCTACATGAACATACAATTTTCTGCCAAAGTTGGAACAGTTTTGTTTTTTTTTCACTTAAGAGATTTCTTCTTGCTCTTCCCACTGGTTTGAAGTGGGCGGGGCCCAGTTTGGAAAAGGTGATGTCACAACGAGTCATGGTTTGAGCTACATTTGAATCAAAATCTGATCAAACCGACAAATGAAGTTTTTGTGTATTGAACCACTAATAAGTAAAACCTTAAGAGACTTGTAAACTTTAATTGTTGCTTATTTCATAATGAATATTTAATGTGAAGATTTGAAGCCAAGTATTCAGGGGCTTTAAATTAGATGCTCTTGATATAAAAAGAAGAGGCTATAAAACACATTTTCTGTTCAGATTGTATTTATCACCTGCATCAACCATCACAGCATGTTGGCTGGTGCCACAGTGCAACATATTACCTTACTTCATATAGAAGGGATCTATTTTCTAAGCTGTTACAGACTTAATTATAATCGAACTTTTACAAACAATTATAAACCTTTACTTAATTTACCAATTAAATGTTCATTTTCAGTAATGGTCACTCTGTGTCTCCCTCCCCTCTCTCTCTCTCTCTCTCTCTCTCTCTCTCTCTCTCTCTCTCTCTCTCTTAGACCCCCTCTCAGCAGGCTGCCATGCTGGACAATGACCAGGAGGGGGTGTCAGGAAGCAACCAGTGGGCTCCCTACTCCCTTGGCAGGAGGGATGTCCCACCTGACAACCTCATGAAAAAGGTCAGACCTGTTGTCTAATCGACAAACCTGAAAAACATCCCATTAGGCTCAACTTTAGGCTTTATAGAGGCTCTTTTTGCAGCTGATGTATGAAAGTAGTCTATAGATGTTTAGATGGATGGATCTTGGAAAGAAGAAAGGAACCTGAAATGCAAATAAATAAGCATCTCCTGTATCCATTCCTCTGGTGTGGATGTGAGTCTCTAACTTCCCCTTCTCTGTCCACAGAGTGCCCACTCCCACAACCCCTCCCACCAGTCACACAACACACACATGATCGTCACTTCCTCCACCTCCTCCTCGTCTACCACGCCTCACCGTGTAGTCGGGCAGCAGGGCTACGACGGGATGATGAACAAAGGGGGCCAATACCAACCAGGGATGCCCTTGTCAGTGGTTCCCTCTGGGGGTCCGGGCCAGTACCAAGGCAACATGTCTCAAGGTAAATGGTAATACATTGAAAGATTGTTCATTTGAAGCCCATCATTATTTATTTTAGCATTTTAAATGCGCACAAGGAGTATGATACTACTTTGAGTTACACTGTCGAAAATTTAAATAATTGGGGTTACAAGCAGTTATCCAATCATGCTGTCACATCCAATCACAGCATGAAATCTGGAACAAATGTAGCGTAATAGGTTATTAAGTTGTCATCGACACAATGTGAAGTTGTGTTTCTGTTGTCAGACAAACCCTGACAATTAAAGAGTGAATTAATCGTGGTTCACAAAACACTAACACCCCAGGAATTACATTAGCATTTGTTAGCCAGTTAGCATATTGTGGTGGTGTTCTCTTTATTCTGAAAAAGTTTGGTATTATTTGTAAATTTATTTGTAAATTCAGGTCAAGGTATTGTAGCATAAAAACATTAAATTTAGTACGCTAGTCGGTTGGTGTAAAGTATGTTGAGCCATGTATACAACGAGTGTTAGCTGCTACAAGCTTCTTTCTTTTTCATCTAGGCCATCCCAATGCTGGACAGGGTTATTCCAGCTCAGGCCTGCCCATGGCCCTGTCCCCGTCTGGGAACCAGCCCCAGTACAACCCCCATTCCTCCCACTCTTCCCATCAGCCCTCCCTCCCCGCCACCAACCCCCAGTACCACAGCAACCAGGGCATGGTCCATAGCAACCAGGTTGTCATGACCCACACCAATCCACGGCCTCAGAGCGCTCGCTGCCTGTTGCAGACGAAAGGCCAGAAGAGCACGGATGGTTTCCAGGAACAGGTATCTGTCTGTCCGCCCATCTGTCTGTCTCCAGCAACCACATCCCACACTATCTTGGAGGTCTGTCTGAAACTGGGCTGTGCTCAAATAATGGCTAAATATATACTAACTAGGTTAGAAAGGATATTAGTTTTGTGGATGTAGGTCCATTCAGTTACACTAAAAGTAGAGGGGAATGGTTTAATAAGCTAAAATTGTTCCTAAACTGTGACAGAGTAAACTGACTTTAGCTTTCTTTAGCTGTGGCTCTTCTTCAAAATAGGTGTTGCATGTAAAAGAGTGATTCAAAACACTGACAAGCTGATAATAGCACAGCACAATACACATAAACAGTTTGAGACGAATGCACACAAGAAATGGTAAAAGTAAAATAATAGAGATTGAGATGACTTTGTCAGAATATGAACCAGCAAGCTAAGTTGGCAAAGACGGTAGTGGTTAACGGTAACTAACTATCCAGATCAGATGTGTATATAACATTACATGTCGACAAGTGAATTTTAAAGGTTCCACATAAGGCCAACAAGCTATTATAATAACTGGGACATATACGTGTAATTTTAGCCAGCAAACAGCAACGGTTTGTGAAGAAACAGGTCTCGAAAAAGCCACGGAGGCGTAGTTCTAAATCTGAGATATTTCACAGATGGAGATCACTGGTACCAGTTTAGGTAGGAACATGAAGTCATTCACACCACCCAGATCAGCTGATCTTCCTGCGGGGTTTTGTTTTTCCCTTCCTAGTATCAGACGGCGTTCATTATGCCAAATAGAAAAACTCTGACAAGGATATTTGTGGCTCAATTGTTGTTGCCAGAGAACTGAGGACCTCCAATATAGCTGCCAAAATGTGTCACACATCACATGAAAGCCCCTTTTCCACTGTTGTACATGTTGTCTATCTACTCTATGCATGTGTAGAGATTGTTATGATCTATGTATTTCACTTTCACTTGTCTTTCTTTCTTTTCTTTTTTCTGTCTTTTCTTTTTCTCCCTTCGTCCTCTCTCTCTAGTTGTGTGTGAGAATAGAGAAGAACCCTGGTCTTGGTTTCAGTATCTCTGGTGGGATCAGTGGCCAGGGGAACCCCTTCAAACCCTCCGACATGGTACGACCCGACCCGGCCTGCCAGCCAATCACAGCCTCCCCGGCTTTACCTCAGAGTTGCCATGGAAACTGCTGCTCATTACCGCAGTGTTTCGTCTATCTGTCCGCATGTCTGTCTCTCTATGGGGCAGCAGTTGACTTAGCTAACTTTGAGTCTGTGATCTTATACTACAGACTGTTGGAAGACAGAAGTTTAATTGAAGCATGTTTTATAGTTATGTATTTGAAAGGGGTAAAGAAGCTCTTGAAATATTGAAAACTTGTTAACATCACCAAACTGGATGGAAGACTTCAGAGAAATGATATCCGAGTTTGGCGAATTCTGTCGGGACTGATAAAACACACTATGCATGTACATGTCATTAATAGTGTGTTTGATGCATTCAGAGTGTCCTCATCAAGGTCTCTTGGAAAATGAAGTTGCAGCAACAAACTTGAATATTTCAGTATTTAGAAATAGATTTGTGCCCACATGCATACACAATGTCTTATTACAAGACATGCCAAACTCTTTTATAATTTCTACTTCTGGGTTTCGACTGATTCTGTCAGTGTGTGCCTGTACTGAAAGCCTGTTGGGGCTGCAGATCCCCAAGGCCTCCTGCACATGGCAGTCTGTCCTAGAAACATGCTGCTATAGTCAGTCGAAAAGGAGCGAGGCTGCTCACGGAGCTCTGACAGCTATTTTAGGAAGGCTGCTTTAGTTCTGGGACACCGTGGGTGATTTTAGATGTTCAACGCTTTGATCTAGGGATGGGAAGTATGGCAGATTTTTCTGACTGTTATTCAGATGTTGAGTAACTGACGAGACAGCCGGTCTATAAATAGAGAGCCTGCGAGAAGAGTTCTTTAAACAGTCAGCCTCTGTACAGCCCATGTGACAAATGGTGAATTAATTTAAGTCGGGGGTGTGAAGGGATAATATAGAAACTGTCAATTCATCATTTAACTTAAGTTTCATACAGACAAGTAGTGACTCAGTTGCTGACATGTACAGTTATTTAATCATTCCCACGTCTACTTGTATCCATAAAGCTCCCACCAGCTGCAGTTTGTCCATTATTAATGCCATCTTACACAGCCAGCAAATGGAGTCGGTGCAGATGAGCAGTTTCCAAAGTGATTCGCCTTAGCATTTTGTCAAGTAATTACATTATACATACAGTATATTTATGCAGTGTATGAGATATGATATAGAGATTGACATACTCTATCCGGCCACGTTACTATAGATGACTGGATATTGTACCTTTACCATCATATTGTAGCTTGCCAGCCTGAGTGCAATGTAAACAGCGACTGTCAGTCACCTGCTGATCTTCTGGGTATCTGCAGCTGAGTCATAGGAGTACATATGGTTCAGATGTAAGTGTCCTAAACGTGGTGTGATATGAACTCTATGTCTGCACTCCTCACCTCAGACCCCACATATGTGGCCCCCCCACAGGGTGGATACCATGGTGCAACAACAGCTGTTATCTGTCACCACCAAATGTACTTTTAATAACCTTTTTTTTTCTTACTCTGGTCCCTTTATTACTTCCATCCACACACGTGAGGCGTCTCGCTGAAGCAGTCGAAGTTGCTTTCATGTTCCTTTCAATGGCTGTCAACTCAGGACTGATTCGTCAGCAGTTTTAGCTCAAACAAAAGCAGATGCCTTTGATTTTGGTTTGATCTTCCTCTCTGACCTACTTTTGCGATCACATTTTGATTTGTTCAACCATTTCTACACATACATTTGTGACTATTTTACTCAGGGTAGACATTTGCCAGGTTTAAGACTACATCAGTTTAAATTAATTTGAATGTAAATTAAGGGCAGACCAAAATTGAGCCAGAGTTTAAATAGTTAAACAGGATTGTGTATCAAAACAGCTTGACTAATAAATTATAGATCTGTGGTTTTGATACCTAGAGCCTACTACAGCCACCGTTATTCCACAGGACCGTGTCTCCCCCTTGTGGTCAGCTTGTTGTTTGCACCCATCCTCTTGGCTAGAAGAATTTATAGGCCAGATAGATTACTGATCTTTTTATTTACACTTAAACTCATTGTTTTTGTGCTATATAAAGATCTGTATCTTGGACCGGTATTATTTAAAATTGGCTTTAATGTTAGTTGGAATTGGCAAACCTGTTATGTACATTTATAAAATGGAAACAAATAGAAAAGTTGCCTCCTCTTTATGATTTTTTTCATCTTTTCCGGACCTTTATCATTTATAATGTCTGAACACAACATGAATATTTCACTACAAAAAGTGAATATTTATGTGTTGTTTAATTTACCTAAATTATACAAATTCTAAATTTAACAGAATCTTTTTTTATAGTATCTGTAAATGTACGTTTTAACCTGGGTTCTCCCTTCAAATGAACAAGTGGAGAGACGAGGGAGAACTAACATTATCCTCTTTCTTAACAAAGAAGTTTGGCCTGATCATCCTTTAAACACACAATCTATTTGCATGAGTGTCTTGTATGGAAACAGAATAATCTTCCAAGAGCTAATTCAGATAAATTGGAGGTTTACAAAACATACTTCTCAGAACATTGGTTTGTATCTGACAAGTTGTTTCAAAGTTTATCCCACAAATGATTCATGTTTTAAAATCCTTTGTGAATCCTGCCAGAAGTCATTATCAGGTTTCTAAAAAAAAGGAAATGACAATGATCTTCTAAGTTTGACTTAAAAGACTAGCTGGCACTCTAAGCCACTGGGTCAGTTTCACTTCTGGCTAATTAGGATTCAGCGAGTGAAGACGATGACTCAGTTCCTGTATTGACAGGAGTGGGATCCCCGGCTTTGGTGTATTGGCTTCTTGGCTCTGTTTAAGAACAGAAGACAGAGTTTTAAGGAGCAGGACATGGATTTTTAGTCAGATCTGGGTCATGAACATTTGAAAATCCAATTTTCTGTTCCTGGTGTTTCTAAATATGCTGTCTCTGCACACTGAGCTGCTGTCGATAACAAACATACTGTATGTTATCCCTGAGCTGCAAAAACCTCATCATTGACCCCTAAGCAGTTTTATGAGCTTGTGGCCAAACTAAAAGAAATCCCATAAAAATCTGACATTTTGAAGATGAAAGGTTTTTGCAGGGCACTGTAGCTTTGTGTGCAAAATGTGTAAATGTTTAATTGTTGTCACTAACTATTTTCAGCTGCTAACAAACACATTTGTAATGTACAGTGAGCTCCATATGGGACCTGACAGTGACATGTCACTATGTTTTGGACATGGAAGGGTGTGAATAGACATAAAGTACCAAAATTAAATCAACCAAATATCAGATAATGAATTCAACATTAACACCTGGTTACAAATTGCATATATGCACCACTTTGCATACAAAATAAACCGTTACGGAGCCACATCATCAAAATTATTAGTACACGTATGAGGCTCACTGTATGAATGCTGTGAATATTAACTAAATTAATACTTCTTAACCTCTTTTATATGGAATATACTGTTTGTGTTTGTTCTTGCATCCACCCATAGACTGTAGTATGTATGTGCAATTGCACTGTCAGTACTACATCATATTGTTTTAACTGGTGTCCCTTGTGGCACATTTATCTGTTCAGCTCACTTTTGTGTGTTCAACGTGTGCACAACTTGTTGAACCTTGTCGAGTTGACATAGGTGCCTTGTCCTACACTTTCTGTGTTCAAAAACATCTTTCAGCTCTCAGTGAAAAGATGTTGGTGTTTTTACAATCTCTGCCTTGGGTTATTGAGGGAAAATATGGGGGATGAAATATCTTCTGCCCTCCCTGCTACCTACTTCTTTCCCCTAATCAGTACCCATCCCACACCTATTCTTCTACCCCTATTCTTTGTATATTTACTGTATATCCATTTTTTCTCTCTTTCTAACATCATGTCTACTCTATGCCAAATCCTTATCTGTATAAACAGATGATAAACCATTTTGACATGTATAGTCAATGTCTTTTTGGGAGGAATGTATCACTCATCGTCTGGCGATGCCAATAACCAAAGAACTTTAAATTGCTAAAATTCAATCATCGTGAATTGCATGCCTCTCTAAATTCAGTTCAAAGAGAATGCATTGGTGAACTTCCCATATATTTTTGGCAGAAATGTGATTTTTTTTTTTTTTTTGGGGGGGGTTTGGGGGTGGATATTAAGATGAGAATGAGAAAGGCAAAGATTCTAAACCATCGTGTCCCTGTGTTGTCCTAACGGTGTATCATTTTGACTTATAGGGTATCTTTGTTACTAGGGTACAGCATGACGGGCCCGCCGCCTCCGCCCTGCAGCCCGGAGACAAGATACTGCAGGTAACATCCTCTCACTCATCAAATGGGCCAGAAACAGCCACATCCTGCCCTCTCTCCCTCCCTAACCCTCCTTAACCCTTCCCTTACTTTATAAACAGCAAGGCAGAGCATTTGATAGGAAAACATAGGTACACATTTCTTACTACAGGTAGCTGGACATTTTCTTACACAGGCTATTCAACAGAGGCATACCAGCACTGATTATCTGCAGTGATGGAGCCAGTGATCACCCGCTGGGGTGATTTTACTGGATTTTTAAATGTAGTTTATTAAGAGTGTATCAGATTTCAGCAAATATTTTCTGCCTCTGTTTGTGTAGGTGTTGGTTCAGAAATCAGGCATAACCCTCCCACCCTCTCTCTCATTCATCATTAGCCAACGACACCCAAAAACATTTGAGCCAAAGATCACAGGGGGATTTGAGTAGCATGAAACAATCTAACAAGTTTATTATCATACACACAATATTAAGTTAAGAAACATGAATGCGAAGGCCATTAATACAACATGGATGAACTGACTTTAAGCTACGTAATCATGGAGGGTTGGTTGTAACTACTGTGAGAATGCAGCGGCGACACAGATGTCAACAAAAATTGTATTTGTTTGAGCATAACTTATAGCTTATAACTTATCATGGCTACCACTAGGTCCTGAAGCAGAGAAGTGATTTCTGGCACAACTTTATGATGAGATCAAAAAGCTTTTTTTAAATAGAATGAGCACAAAGAAAAAGTTAAATGGATTTTTATGACCTTGATGACAGACACAAGCCAAAATACTTCGGTCTCACAATGTGTTCTTTCTACCAGAAGTTTTTCAAGACATTTCCAGGTCAAACTGAATTTTGAGGCAGATCAGTGTTTTTGTGCCGCTCCAAATCTGCTTCTACATTATCTCACTGAATAATTGCTTTTGACACACAGTTACTTTGTATAAGATATGGGCTTAAACACTGGAAACGTTTCTACATTGAGTCCTGGAAGTAACTGAATACAGTAGTTGCCTTAAGGCTGAATTACAGTATGTTATTTTTCTGATGATTCAGATAAATGTTTCTATTAATTATAAGCTGTAAAAAAGCAATGCTGAAATTTGATGCTGAAAATATGTATTGTTCCACCTTGAGGGGATAATCTCCCAGGGGCAACAAAAGCTATTGAAAAAACGTCCACCTCCCACGTAGATCAGTGAAACTGAATCAATAAACAGCAATTAATTATACATATTTACTTTATTTATATATTTACTATAGCTGTTATTTCAAAGTAGAGCTGGAATTAACGGAGAGGATTGTCCTGTAGGTCAACATGAGATGGCAGTGTTCCCCTCTCTCCCTATCTCTCATTCCTTCCATGTTTCCCTCCCCCTCTCTCCTCCCCTTCATCTTCTCTCCACAGATGTACAGTTTAGCTGGATGAACTCATCTAAAAGCCCTTTTTTGTCTTTACCCCTTCTCTCTCTACAGCATGACTGTGTAGCTCCTCCTCTTCTCTCTCTTTTCCCCAACAGTGATGTGTTACTGAGATAATGATGGCAGTGACCCTCCATCCTTCCACACACACCCACCCACACACACACACACACACACACACACACATGCACACACACATAGACATATGTATGGAAATACTGCAGCACACATACCTCTATACATACATGCACACACACATGCTGTTGACTGTGCTGCGTGTTTGCCTTGCAGGCTAACGGACATAGTTTTTTACACATGGAGCACGAGACAGCCGTCTCTCTGCTGAAGAGTTTCCAGCGGACGGTGGACTTGATGGTTCTGAGAGACAGCAGCACGCGCTAAAAATAGTTTTATAACAAACAAACAAACAAACACAACAACGCTTCTCTACTCTGCTCATCGCCATCCCACGCCACCCCACCTGCCCTCCGCTGGAGGCTTGTGGAACTGAGAAATGAGCCGCCTTTTTTACCTTTTTAGGGGAACACACAGACATTTATTTGCCTATTGCTGGACCAAAGGCAAATACTAGTGCCAAATGTACCATAGGAAACATATCGGCTCTTCTGTCCACCGGCGGTCAGGGACCTGATCGACGATTGGACGGACCACAAGAGGACTCTACACTTTGAGTTCCTACAGGGCTGCTGCAGTTTGGATTTTGTGGTTGGTTTGTTAATTAGGCAGTCATCTTATTGGTCAGTCTGAATAGTTTGTTTCTGTTGGTTAGGGTTCTGGGATATTTTTGCTTTTCTCCACTGCCTTTTTATTTTGCTGTCCATGATAGATCTTTAATATTTTGTTTGGTGTAGCACATATTTCACATTCAGCGTTCTTCATTGTTCTTCTTTGCTTTGTCCAGTTCTCTTCTGTTTAATTTTCTGTTGTCTTCTAATCTGTTTTCTTATTTTATTTTATATTTCTTTCAGTGTCTTTTGTTTTATTACTTTCTGCTGTCTTCTGTTGTGTTCTGCAGGTATTATTGCCTCCAGTGTATAGAAATTGAAAACGTAAGACTTTCTGCCTTGTGTACATATATAGAGCTGCAGCTTTCTAGAGCTGCACTCTCCTTGGGGCCTGGACAGACAGCTCTAAAAGTTTATGATTGATATAAATATTGTTGATAAACTACATTCTGAATTCTCTCTTATGAACATACAGGGATTATTTCTCCAAATGGACAATTTTCTAAAGTATACCACTGATTTTTTTTTTCTTTCTGTAAAGAAAACACTGTTCATAGTTCATCATTGCTACTTGTTTTTTTGTTTTAAAAACGGTTGCTTGCACAGCTGTGCTGAAAAGAGCTAAAGCAATATTTCTGAGGCTCTGGCCATTGAGATTTTCAGCAGAGCCTAACTTGTCCTGCAGTGCCATCTATCGAGCAAGTCATGCTAATGTTTACACACACTGCCATGCACATGAACTACCAGGCAAACACACATATACAGTAGATGTATGTGCCCCCATACACAACGCATATGCAATGGTGCGCTCTGTGCACTATTGCATAATAAAGCCCTGTCTATATTCTAGCCTGATTTTAAATTTCAACTGCTATTATAAAACCAATCACATACACAGACATTGTAACATTACTCATAATATCTGTGCCATATCACATTTTGTGGTCCTGTTTTCTAGTATTGTTACTGCAGTGTTACATCCCTTTTTAGCTGTTTGAGTTGTATGATAAAGTCACAGCATGCTCTCATATCATTGGTCACTGTCAGCCAGCCATTTTCTGTTGGCTTCTAGAGTTCCCTACTCTGTAGAAGACTCTAGATGTATTATACCACTGAGTTTCAGTGAGACTGATGTTCTATAGTTGGTGCCATATGGACCCTTTTCCCTTCCCTGGTTGTATTTAAACAGGCCTACAACTTTAGAGCTTTACCCCTTTGTGGCCCAGATCTGATCTGCATACAGTGAAAGCAGCAGCGTGTAGGGAAACTGGTTTTAACATTTGGTGAGGGTCCTGACCTCTGGCCTCCATGTGGAAAGCAACAAGAGAAAAGAGAATGTCACTACAAGAATCAATAAGGTATAACACACAGTTTAAAGTGTCTTAATGGGTAAATCTGTAGTGAATCACATTTTCCCTTTTTAGACAATCAGGAAATTATCTGAGGCTGTGTGGCTACACTTGAAATTTCAGTGGAAATTTTGTAACCTGAGGAGATGCTAATTGACTCTAGGTATACATGGAAATTTAGATTTGCCAACTCTGTTGGTGAACGTTGAAAATTATATGTAGATAGGGTCAGGTAGTGTTTGGAATATGACATTTAAAGGAGCAGGGAAACAAAGTAATATATAATGACTCACATGTAGAAACTGTGGTCATATGTGGTCATATACAGTCAAATCTGACCGTCATGGTCAAGCTTCAGAAATTGTATTGACATGACAGAAGTAACCACAGAAAAAGGGTGAAGAGTTTCATTTTCTGTCTTCGTGTAAATGCAACACGTGTCTTGAAGACATCTCATGACAGGGAGTTTTGTTCTGTTCTGTATAACATCTGATGTTTCATCCAGAGCAAAACAACATCCTTCGCTGTCCTTTGCTTTTACTTGACATGACAGTGTCATCCTGTGCCCATTTTGTGTCAACCCTCTTAATAAGCGTTAGAATTTAGTTAATTCAATATAAAGGACACAAAATGGCACAGTTTAGTCTTGTGGTTGAGACATCTTAACCACAGGCACCCACCCAACCCTATTTAGAGTTTGAAATATCAAAGATATTGTGATGAGAACAGAGAAAAAGGTTTGATAATATAATTATTTTTTACTACATGTTTCAGGTAATTCTTTCTAAATATATTGATATACCTTAGCTTTGCTCAAAAATTGTGATATTTTATAATAATGACACTTATAACAAAGTTATGGATGGAAGTACGCACAGTATGACTTGGAGACCTACACATGTACTATCCAAAACTGTATAAAATGTATTTCTACTGTAATTGTGAATTTGTGTTATACAAATATATATTATATATATATGTATATGACTACAAAAACAGTCATTTTCTATGTGTTTAAACTACATAAGAGCTGAACAAATGCTGAGGACGGTGTCACTGTACATAGCTGTGAATGAAATCCAATTTAAAATGACTCATATTGATTGTGAATGTACTCATGCTTTCTGCAGTACCTACACCTACCCAACTTGAATGCTGCTTCTTCTGTTGTGTGACAAAAAGTACTTTGACCTCCGAAGAGAGAACTGCTGTCGAGTTATAAGTTGGACAAATTTTAGTGACGATTTAACAGAACTATTTATTTCTTTATTTATTTGCACATGCAAGTTGAAATCCTTCCAGTTTTAAGTTTGAGTATTAATGCGGAGAAATGTAATTGCAGAAGTATATATAATATATATCATGTGTTTAGAATGCATTTTGCAGACGCTATCTGTACATACTATTTAAGATACAGTTTTTACAAAAAATAATATATGTATAAAATTGAAAAAATGCTGTGCAGCGATTATACTGGAGCCATTTTGGGCTTTGGGACGTACCATTTTTTCAGTATATAAGAAGTGTTTTGAATAATGTACTAAAGTCTCTATTGTACAAATAATAAAAATGTCACTATTGGTTACCTGGGTTCCTCCTGGTGCACTGAGATCTGTCTTTAGGAGGCCAGAAGAGAGGGATATCTCTCCTTCTACTTCTCTTTCCTTCTTTATTATTGTAGAAAGAGAAAGATGTAAGGAGGAAAAGGGGATAGAGACAAAAGAAAAAGGGGATGGGGGAAATTTGTTGATGAAAATAGGAAGAAAGTTATGAAGATATGAAAGACTAAGGAGCATGTAAGGAGATATGGGGATGAATAAAGAAAACAGGCAAGGCAGGAGCCAAAGCAAGAAAGGAAATAAAGGAACAGAGGAAGCAAAGGATTAAAGGGAGGAAGAAAAAAGGCAGAATGAGGAGAAAGGTAAAGGAAAGGAAACAAGAAAATGAAAGAAAGGAATAAAGCGATGGAGGGAAAGAATAAACGGATGAAATAGGATGGCTAGAAAATGCAGGCAAGAAAAGAAGCGAGAGATAAAGAAAAGGAAGAGGAGAGAGTGATGAAGATCACCTCCGCAGGTCTGTGGGAGATTTCGGTTTCCTCTGCTTCTCTGCGGATTAAACTCAGTACAGCCTCTCATCTTCTCGGCAGATGCTCCTTTGTCTCTCTGTCCATTAGTCTAACAGCCTGACTCTTCTTCATCCCTCTCTATCCGTCCATCTCATCTCTTCTTGACACTTATCTGAGCTGTGGATCACAGAGGGACGGCTGAGTTTGTTAAGCTGCCTCACAGAATTGAGGTATAAAACCATGTCAGTGTTTTTTACTTTTCAGAAGCTCAACGAAAATGTTTAATCCATTGTGGTGAGTATAATTTATAAAACATGCACATGTAACTGACAAACATGACTCTTACTGCTCTCTAGCAACTTGACTTCTATGACCTCTGAACTTGTTTACACCCACTGTGCTCAGCGTTTGATTTATTCACAACCTTATAATCCATTAATGGGCATTAATGACAAGGTAATTAAATGATTAGTCCATTTTAGGGCCCGTTAGGAAAATCCAGTGCTTTGTTCATTCATAGCCTATATCTAAAATATAGCAAAGTTAGTCTGTTATTTATCAGTTTTGAGTTAGGTTAAACAAATGTCTATTCTAATACTTTTACTAATATAGGCTGTTGTCTCCTTTACAAAAATTACATTAACGTTACTGGACAAGGCAGAGGCGAAGGAAGTGAGAGGAAGCTGTATCAGGACACCTTAACACATGTATTGTCACCATTATAGTTTACTGTCATTACTTAACAGGCAAAACAAATAGAAGCTGTAACGTTCACATAATTATCTAGCAAGCTCATGACCCACTTTCTGTTTGTTGCTTGTTAGTTTTAACCCATGGCTAAGTGTGTTTCACAAGTGAGAGATAGCAGTTAGCAGCAATGTAGAAACTGAGTCATGTTGCTATGGATACATACACCTCCCAACTAATCAGAAATTAGTATTTTCCACGGCCATAGAATGAACATATTATTATACGAGTACTAGACTGTCCGTACATTTATTTTGAAGTACTTGTACTAACATACCCGCAGGCCTAACACAAGTAGGTCTACAATGTGCTGCCACTTCTGTAGTTTTACTAGCATGCATGACTTTACTCAAAATGGAGTATTATTATTGTTATTGCTACTTACTCACATAAAGGATTTGAGTTCTTCTTCTACCTCTGTTAATCGCTCACTCACTGCATTACCACTACATTGTGGTATACTGCATGACTGTATAAGAAAAGTGTCACTGGCTAAATGTGCTTCCCCTCGTCTGTCTTGTACCATTCCCCACTGTTCTCCCGGCATCAGTGCCCTCTGTAGAACAACTCTGCTTACTGTGGTACGGGCCGACAATTAACAATAGAGGGTAATAGTATACACGCACACGCACACACACACACACACACACACACTAACACACTCATTGATGAAAGCAGAATGATGTCCTTTTGTTCTCTTTCCTTTTTACTCACTGCTTTTGGACAAAATGATACTTCTGTGTGCTGACTGACCAAACCCACTCATACAATCATGCATAAATTCCCCCCCCACGCTGACTAATGTGTTATGCTGGTATCAGTGTGTGTGAGTGTTTTATGTGTGTAAGAGATACAGAGAGAGAGTTTTTGTGCACCCACCAAAGCTGTCAATAAGGTCTTGTGACCTGATCGATATCAGTACCAGAGACCGAATCCGTGACCTGCATTCAGCTGCTGCCTGCGTATGTGTGTATGCAGATAAAACGTCACTCAGGAGTCTACATACAGTGTATTGTGTCCAACATGCAGGGCTAACATGTGTCCTGCAGCAACTTTCTAATGCATTTCTAATATTGCCTCTCTGTCTTTTTACTCTGACAAACATCAGCATCTCCACTGCCAAAGGTCAATCACTGCTGACCGGCCTGTGACACAGTTAAACTAATAATCATAAAATTAAGAGTTAATTTGGAAAAATAGAAAAGATGCAATTCTTAAAATGAATGAACCAACTAGAGTTTTTAAGACTGTTATTCCCCTGAGGTCACAATAAAAAAGTTACATGTCTTATCATAAAATCCCAACATCAGTTTTATTGATAATCTTGAATAAAAAAATATATTTAGGAAAATAAAAACAATGGAGATGTTTGTTTTTGCAAATGAATCCTTTGCCAAAAAGACCGGTGTCAGTGAGACAACGACTATAAAAAGTACACTCCCACAATTACGCAGGTCAACTTGTTTGCAAGAAGATCAATACTATTTTCCTCTTTGTTGGTCCAGTGCACAGAAAGGCTCGGGGTGTATTTAGCCTAGCTTAGCACGAGGATGGAAGTAGAGAGAAACAGTTGGCCATCAAAAGTGGAACAGCCTGGCTTCCAACAACTACAAAGGTTTCTTATTTAGTCCACATGTAGTTTTAACCCTAATTATAAAAAATAGAATGAAAAACTAACATATATCCTGAAGTTTCCAGCTTCACACACCTTCCTTATTCAGAAAGAAACCCAGAGGAGCCATAGATGGAGTGGGGACAGTTTTGGAGTTTCTAGGCTAAATGCATTCTGGACCTACAGCTCGCGTTAGTGTATTTGCCCATTTGTCAAATATTTTTTATCTAGGTGATGAAAACAGAGATGCTAACTTTTAGCCTCTAGTTAGCTCACATTAGCTGTAGGCAAACAAAACATTAGCCAACTTTTACTAGCCACTCTTATACTAACAGGCAAAGCAGTTATTTGTGGTTTTTATGTTATCTTATATATATATTTTTTATTATAGTTCTGAAACTATTTTACAAATACTCTCATTAGCTCTATTAGCTTGTGTTAGCTCCTGTAAGCTTTAGCGCTCAATTATGATTTATTGCTCAGATCAGATTTTTTTGGTTTGGCTGTTCATGTTATTTCGTAAATGCAGCCCCTATCAGATACCAGTGTGATCAGGTCACGGTCCTAAAGTGACCCACATGATGAATCGAGGACACGTTGTAAAAACTTACACCTGTATCTGATTTGGACCACATATGAAAGAATTAAAAAGATCAGATTCAATGTGATTTGTCATAAAAAAACAACAAAAAAACAGATCTGAGTCACATATGAACCCCAAAAAAAAAATCAGATTTGGGACACTTGTGCCTGCAGTGTGAACGTAGCCTAAGTGGGAGTATTGATTTAAAGTGGCATTGACTATTTTACATAAATTGATAAAATATGAATATAAAAGTGATTACATAACATAATCATAATCTTAAATGTGTTAAATGTTCATGTATTTGGCATTGACTTACTGCTGTGCCACTTATTTAACCAAAAGGTCTGATAGCGATGCTCATATTGGGGACTTTTTGGGATCTTTTCACTTTGAATAAAAGCTAAGAGGCTTTGTTTTGGGTAAACTCGGCCCTGGTAGTTGACATGGATCTAGGCTAAAAGAGATACGGTAGGGAAAAGCCTGGGATAGAGAAGGCTTTAATCTACTCAACACAATAAAACTGTTTACCATGATAATACCACAGAACTCACACAGGGATGGGCCTGCCCGAACAGCCAGTGGGATTACACCTGTGACATTTCAATTGGATCCCTCACACACCTTAACTTTTTAGATAATGTTAGTGTTTGTGTGTGTGTGTGTGTGTGTGTGGGTGTATGCATTTGGGCACAATAAATTAACCCTGTTTGATATCTTTACAGTCCAACTAGGGCTGCACAATTAACCAAAATATCATCAAAATCCCTTTTTTTATTTTTTAATAAAGGTAAAATGTGTGACAAAACAGCATAATGAAGTACTTTAGTGCTGCAGATTTCAGTAAAATACTAAAAATATGTATATTTTTCAATGAAAATTACATTATTTATGCAAAACTTATGTAATTCCCTCACGTAAATCATATCGCAAATGCAATATCTGTCAAAATAATAATAATAAATTATGGTTTTTTTTACCATATCATGCAGCCCTAAGTTCAATATCCAATTTAACAACAAATATATAACCAAACTATCATTAAGCATTAACAGGAAGTGGAGAGGTTAGGCTACATAAATCTACTTATAGTAGTTTAATCAGTATATGGAAACCCAAATCTATACTTTGGGTTGAGTGGATTAGATGTAGTAGATCCAGTACAGACCCATAGATAGACCAGGCTTTCATCCACTGCGCACAATATAGCTGTTTAACATGACAATGCCACCAACATACACAAGCTGCTTATGAAGAGCCTCTCAAACCTGCTGCAATGGTGTTTTGAGGTAAGTGCATGAATGTGTGTGTGTGTGTGTGTGTGTGTGTGTGTGTGTGTGTGTGTGTGTGTGTGTGTGTTCATCCCACAGGACCGCCTAAGAACCGGTCGGACAGCGTTATGACTCAAGTCACCTGAATGAAGAAATGGAGAACTTGTTTTAACCTAAGGAGAGAGGGAGAGCTAAAGAGAGGGAGAGAGAAAGAGAGAGAGAGAGAGAGAGAGAACACACACACACACACACACACACACACACAAGCTCCGGGTACCAAGTCCACGGTTGACAGTTTCTCTCTTCTCCGCCGGGTTCCTTTGACTTTCAAACACTTCATAGAGTTTATTTATGTTGATGAGGTTGCTGTGGACTGTCGTGGTGTCAGTGTTGGTGTCCCACTTTGGAGGCAGGCTGTCCCGGGACAAACGCTCACATATGTAATAACAGAGACACGGTGACAGCGACACACACACACACACACACACACCCGAGGGGGAGGAAGACTTGTGCGCGTCAACATGCCTGTGCGACAGAAAGGTAAAGTAAAATGTATTTTTTTTTAAAATCATTTTCTGTCTTTATTTCCCTGCATATAATTAATTTAGCTAAAGAAACGATATCGACATCAGTTGAAAGCTCTCCGAAAGGCTGCCTTTCTAATAACTCACAGAGGCGCTCTTCTCTAGCGTGTTAAGTTAACACAGCACGGAACTTTATCTAAAACACCCGCAATTTAACGCTGCATTGTTTACAGGTGTGGGAATACAACTTATAGATCATAGTTTAAGAGCTTTTAGTAATTATTCACACATTGTGGTAAATTCGGCACACAATTTATCCACCAAACAGCATTTTATTTTCATTTTCATCCGCTTTTACTTGTGCATAGTCTGCTAGTATGCACTAAAGCGCACAGATGGAGGGAATTGAGCTCAAGGTTTTGTGACTCTGCGTAGTTTATTGCATGCCGTATTGAAGTGGTACGAAAGTGCAGCTGATTAGTATCTGAAAACATGCTCTGCTTGATGTATGTGCTTATACATAAACAATCAATACATAGGGATTATTTTGAATGCGGTTTGGCTCGACATCTTTCACTGCTAGAAGGCGGCATTATATGAATGAACACTGACACTTCGCCTGAGTTTGAGGTCTTAAAGTCTGTCAGTGTTTCCGGTTTAATCAGCTGTTCAGATTGCCATGCAGCCTGGAATGCAGTCCCCAGCCTTCCTTTTGCCCCATAAACTCTGTTGCCCTCATGCCCTCCTGCATCAGATAGATAAAGCCCTGGTAATAAAACTGAATATGAGTTTGACCATTTCACCGAAAGATGCAATAACCATAAAGTGCCATAAATAGGCTCTGTCTTCTGGATTTACATCAAAGAGCAACTCTTTCCCTTATAATTAAGATGACTTCACAATATCACTCAGAACTCCAGTTTTCAGTTTTATTTGTAATATTATATTGTATATTGCAGTGGTGGAAGGTAATTAGGTACATTTACTCAAGCACTGTACTTGAACCGACAGCTTTAGTTACTAGGTACTTTGCAGATTCAGATTATTAATGCAAAATGTGATCAACTGATAAATGATGATGCATTATTATACATTAAAGTTCCCACTGTAGTTATAATTAGCCCCATCTTTACCAGTATCAACATTACAGATACTCAGTGATCTATAATCCAATATTATTATTCTGAAGTGGGCCGATCTGCATAATGAGTATATTTCGATGTTAGTACTTTTGAACTCTTACTGAGGTAAACATTTTAGTGTGGGACTCTTACCTGTAACAGAGTATTTCTACACTGTGGTATTACTACCTTTACTTTAGTAGACAATCTGAGTACTTCTTCCACCGCTGGTTGTGAGTGCTGAGGGTTGACATGCAGCTCGATCCACCTTTCTAAAGCAAACAGTTTTTACATCCTTGTGAAGTACTAAATGAAGACCTTATATACTTAACCTTTTAGCTGCTGTCAAGTTTGCAATTTCACACTGATGTCAAACACTGAAAATTGGCAGTAGTTGAGACAGGAAGGGAGAGAAAACATTTGTCTGCCACTCTTATATAACAAGGAAATGAGGTATTTTAAAAGCCTACTGACAGATTAACACCTGTGTCCACACTCACTATAGGAAGCTATTTGTTATTAATCTGTCTTTTATTAATTTCACCCTAATGAAGACTCTGTGAGGACCATAGTAATCCTCAATTAAGTATAGGCTTTTAATGTACTTAATCTCCTTTCTCTTCTTAAGAGTGCCTGGAGAATTTAGTCTTTCCTTTTCTCTCATTAGTTATGGGGATAAAAGGTTATTGTTATTTACTTGTGTATTTTATATTTAGATGCTCAGCGCGCCCTGGAGCTTCTCCAGCAGTACCGGGCCAAGCTTGACCAGAGACAGCAGAACCAGAGCCGGACCAAACAGGGCCTTGTTGAGGAAGACCACCAGCTGCAGCAGTCCCTGGACAGAGTCATCAATGTCTTCCAAAGTCAGCTTTTTAACGCTCTGCTTGGTAAGGATATCTGTTTGTTTGTTCATGTATCCAATCAGTTTATACCTGGGTTTACAACGTGTTGATGTTGAACCTTGGATATCTGCTGATTGGCCTGTTGACCCTCACATCATTTGCTTGGATTTGACATCTGTAGGAGATGAAAGGATTATTCACAGTGTGAATGCAGATTAAGGATGGCCCTTTTGAAATTAAGCTTTGTTTGCACTGTTTTGTGTTCGGTATGAAATATATTTTAAGGCATCTTAAGCTTTATGCATGTATTGCATATTTTCCTGCCCTAGGCCACATTTTACATATATTACCAGAGATCAAGGTGTTATGTAACAGATTTTCTCCTCTAATAGGTCTACAGAGGTTTAAATTCCTTTGTTCTTGAGAATAAGTATTAGTAAGCAGTTTTTCAAATGTATATTGGATTATATTATCTCAAAACATTGGCAATAAACTGTCTGTATGGCTAGATGCCACCGTTTTTTGTGATTTTGGTGAACTGATCCTTCAGCTTGGTACTTGTGCTGCTCATCACAATAAGTTCATCATCTGTTTGTTTGTCTTGCATTTTGTGAGTGCTGATGTCTTAAACACAGACGGAGCAGCGCAGTATGTATATGAAGGCTTAAAGACAGGAACTGTGTGTGCTGTGTGTGTGCTTTTGTTCAAACGAAGATGAGAAAGTTAAACAGTAGGCTAGTAGGCCAGCAGACAGAAGGCCACACTGATCATAAGAAAAAGAGAAGAGCACTGTGTTCACAGAGTCTGCAAGATGTTGGACTGTTACATGACTGAAGATGTAGGCGTGATGTGGCCTGTCACAGGAAACACAGGGCCCATTGTAGAAAGTAAGCTCAAATTTAAAGAATGTGTAGCAAGTGTAAATTTCTCCCAGGAGTTAACAGTCTGTGTATAACTGGTTAGTTCTGCTTGTGGAGAACTGTTGCTTAAGGAAAACACCAGGAACGTGTGTGAGTGTTTGTGGTTATGTGCATGACAACAAACGGGTTCTCAGTCCCTGGCCCTACCTGCTTTGTGTCACGCCCACACCTTAGGTCTTAACACTCCTTTTTCTGTTTTGTCTGTATGCGTGTATGCACGTGTGTGTTTGCTGTTCACTAAACATGAGGCTGAGTTCCTGTTTGTGACTTTGACCTTTACTGTCTCTGGTGTAATTAGTCCTTGACTTCTTGTGTTATATTTTATATATTATATTTGTTTTAATATACTCCACATCCTTGGGTGTGGCTGCGTGTTACTGCACAGTCTTATTTCCATCCTTGATGGGGGTTTTTTGTGTTTTTATGCATTATACTGTTAAATTCTCCTTTGTACTCGCCACTCTTAGTTACACACCCTCCTCCAACTGTCTGTGTATTCCCATAAAATGTACTGTGGGTTAGCAGGCTGAGCTCACAGCCATGTGTATGAGTTAGTGTAGAATTGTCAGTTCTGCAAAGGGGAAGTGAAAGCATTAATCATTAACAGTCACTTTGATACGTTCTCTCAGCGTGCTTACTTTTGAAAAAGGGAATTGACAGTGGAAGAAACATTTCCTCTTTTAAGTGGGAAAACCTGAATACTTCAGGAGCTACTGTCCCACAGTGGTAGTATCTCTGTGCTGCCACTAGAGGTCAACAGTGTATTAGCTGTTTTTCCTTTGGTTTCTTTTCTAATCTCAAGTGAAAAAGGAGGCTTTTTTGTGACCAGCTTCAATTTGATTGTATCTGAATGCAAACTACAATGTACTGTAGGGCTGCACGATTAATCAAAATATTATCGAAATCACAATATGCAGTAGTTCAATATGCAAATTGCAGAGGCAGTTTGCAAATCGTAAGAGCTGTAATGTTTTGACAAAGGTAAAATGTGTACAGACTCCCACCAAAAAATTTCACACCATCATGACTTTAATGGCTGTTTTTTTTGTGAAAATTCAATTTGTTATGCAAAAATGATAATTCCCACATAATAATGAATCTGTCAAAATAATTGTAAAAGGATGTTTTTACTATATATACTGTAGGGTTTGCTAAGGTTTAGGTTTTCTACTGTATTGTGAACAACTTTATTGGGCTGCAGACAATTATTTTTTCCATTAACCATTAACTGCTTTATGAATCAATTGTTCAGTCTATGAAATGTAAAAAATAGTGAGAAATGTCCATCATCATCATTCACAGTGTAACGAATGTTTCCTATTTTAAGTGAAAGGTGCTATATTAATAAAGTTATTATTGTTATTCATCCTAAATAAACACTTCAGTAATTCATCATGGCTCTAATCTCTGCTCTTCTCCTTCCAGACATTCAGGAGTACTACGAGTTGACCATCCTTGAAGACAGCAAGAGCTCTGTGGACCAGGCAGACGGTCCTAGGAACGTCCCGGCCCCCTGTAACCTGCCAGCAGAGCTCTCAGCCCAGCCACAGCCTTCCTCTGGGCCCCTGAGCCCCCAAGCTTCTGGAGGATCATTCCAGCCGAAACCCCTGTCCCCCAGACCCAAGTCAATCAAATCCCCTGCCCCTCCAATTCCATCTGGAGCACCCACAAGAAAACCATCTTCCCCTACAGCACAGTCCACTACACCTCAGTCACAGCCAGCCAAGGTCAAGTACCGTGCTCCTCTCCCTCCTGTCCAGCCTGGAGCCTCCAAATCATTGGCATCAGACACTCCTATGTCCTCTTCTCCCACTGTTGCCACATCTCCTGGAGTCAGAGTAAATGGTGCAGAAACCCCCACTGGTTCCATAAAATCACCTCCTGGAGTATCACTGAATGGAACAACAAAGCCACGTCTTACTGACACCAACTCCGATGTTTCTTCAGAAAGTTCCACCACAAATTCACAAAGCTGCTCTGTCTCACCAGAAGTCAACCTGGAGACTGTTTCAGCCCTCGTCTCCAGCACCATCCAAGGCCTTGTGTCTCCAACCACTCCAGACAAATTTACCACCACCAGCCCAGGTCTTAACAGGGTCACAGACGCTACCACAATCTCTGCAGCTCTTGCGACCAGCAAGGACCCAGGCATAGGCAAAGCCACTCCCAGCACGAGTCCAACTAGCCCCAACCAGGGCAAATTCACCTTCAGCAGCCGCAGCCCAACAGTTCCTCCGGGGCCTTTGATCAAAGGGCCTCATCTGAGGTACGTCCAACAAATGAGCATTCATTTTAATTGTCAGTAAGGTGTATTAGCAAGCCAGACTTAACAAATGGTAACTGACATTTTAACAGACTCAACTGAAATTATCTTGGCTTATAATGTGTTGGATGCATGTTAATGTATATTTTCCGACTTTCAGAATATTATGAAACTGTTATATTTGATGAATTCACTCTTTCAATTTATATTCTGTCAGTGTTTGGAAAAGAAGAAAAACTTAAACAAAATTACATTAGCTTTTAAATGTCATGCTGTGTACAATTAAAACGTATGCATATGTCAGGTATAGCAGCACAGAATAAGACCCGGCAGTTTTCCGAGTTCACCTCCAGACACCCTCTCTCCTTGATTTCTGTTACTAGTCCAACCAGCCCCGGGCCAGTAAAAGTCACCTCCACTAGCCCTACCCATGGTCCAGCCAGCCCCAGGCCAGCTACAAGCCCACTGACCCCCAACAAGGTAAGACATCTGTGGTTGTTTTATATTAATGCCTTAGGAAACCTGCAGGAAATCTCTCCACAGTTAACAGCAGAGAATAATTCATATCGCCTCCTTTTCAAAGGTGGGTGAGTTGGGTGGCAGTAGGCCTGCGTGATTCTTGAAGAGTTATGTTTCCTCTCCTGAGTCTTGGAGAGAAAACTGTTTAATGAAAATATAGCCTCCGTTATCTCCTTGTGTCTAGGAGAGCTTATCAGGTTTGCTGGTGCTATAAAATGAAAATGAAAATGAAAATTGTGGTTTGAAAATAATTAAACCAGAGCTGTTGCTTTATGTCTAACATTTTGATATATGGCAAACTGGTCATTCATCTTTATCTCTTATTAACCTGTACATTGAAAGGCTGCTGGTGGCTGCAGAGAACCAAATTAGATGCACCGATCGTGGTTTATGCAGACTGTCTGTTGGCTTACATTGCATTACATAATATGACAAGGGGAATCAATTCAGTTCTGTAACATTGTGAGCTCAGAGATGGCTCATGCAACTGGTTTTGTCTTGTTGATCTTCCTGAAATGGAAAATCGAATGGCTTTGTGTAGTTTGGGCTGTTTGACCACGGGCTGAGACTGTACACATCGTTGCTTTGATCTGTTGCTGATAGTCTACATCTTGGAAAATTGTGCTGATACTGGCTTACTTAGCTTGAAGTTGTTTTCAGTACACCTCTGTACGTGCATCAGGCAACATTTGTCCTCCCAATTAAATACTGCTGGTATTGTGGGAGGGATTGTGTATTGGGGGTTGGTGGTAACTCTGGGAACGTCCATGTGCTGCTCAGGTGTTCCCAATTAATTAATCCAATAATAATAGTGAACTTGGGTGGCTCATTTAGTTGTCTTGTTATCATTTTTAATCGGACAAAAAGGGACTATTGCTGTGACTAAAGTTTCAATCAAATATAACAAATTTCTTTGCATTTGCGTTGCTCATTATCCGTTTCTGAATCGTTTAATGAATGGGATTACTAGTATTAAATGGCTTTAGAAGAAACCCAATAGTAATGTTCATTAGCACAACCCAGTGCTCTATATACTCACTCTATATTGGCAACAGTGAGCATCAGAAGAGAACCAACATCGAGTGCAGGGCCAGTAGAGGGTGGAGCAGGACAGAAGTAGAGTAGGACAAGAACAGAAACAAATGTAGTAGGTCCAAGTCCAACATCAATTGTAGTGATGTTTTGCATCTCGAATAAGTCCAATATCTTGAGGGACTGAACTCCCATCTCTGTGTGAAGCTTCAGGGTGCATATGGGGCTTTAACTTCGCCAATACCCACAGTCAAAGTTGAAAGTAGAGCATCCATTGCTATACCGCTGTTACTGTTCACTCAGTCTAACCCCCCCTGCCAAACAGAGACTGACCTGATAAAACAGCAGAGAGTGGTGTGTGTGTAGTAGTAGTAGTATATGTATTTGTGTGTGTGCTCATGTCTGTGTACACATGTCTGTCTGTGTGAGTGTTTGCCTGTGCATCCATGTGTATGCGTTCCTACGCCTGTCTCTGCATGTTTGCCTGTCCGTTTTTTTGTGTGCTGAGTGCCTTCTGCGTGTGCGCGGATACATATTCTGAGCCATGCACTTTTTGAGGTCAAAATGTGGCTACCAGCTGCCATAAAATGAAGACAGCAGCTGGAAAACAACAGGGCGGGTGGAGGTGCATCGGGACAGCTGCCATGTTTCTGAGTCGGCCTCTATTTTAGCGGAGAGGTCCTCTCTGGCTGCTCTGATGGAAGGACAGGTGGAGAGGACACGAGAAAGGGAGGAGAGAGAGATTTAGGTATGAAAGAAGAGGATGAGAAGGAGGAGACAGAGACGGGCGGGCAGCAAAAGGATGTCACCAACAGCAACAAGCGGCTGACTGGTAGAACGGGAAAGTTGCACCTTGAGGATGATTCGGTAAAAGTTTGCCAGTCGGACTGGTGAGGATGGACTGCATCTGCATCCTCACTACCAAGGTGAGACACAGAAAGAGAGTGGGTTAGAGTAAAGCAGAGTAAAAGATCAGGGCATGAGTAAACAGTATTGTCAATGTTTTGCGATCAGTGTACCTCGTGACGGCATGCATTCATTCATTACAGTGATTCATTTTAATGTTGAAATTATCTGTGAATTGGGTGCTAAGCTTTGAATGTGCCAGATGTCCTCACGTGATTGTTTCTGATAATGTACTGGAGGATTTTGAATGGAAAAGTGAGGTTGAGACTTGCAGAAGCATTTCACAGTAAACTACAGGCTTAGTAAACAATGGAAAACTAGTTGCAGTCCTAGGGAGCTACACGTTGTGAATGAACAGGGTATAAGGTGACATCTTACAGGAACAGGACGTACTCAAGTAAAGTGACTCTAATGGGAATGCCGAGCTGTTGCTCAGCTGTTGGTCTGACAACATGTGACACCCTGAGAGACAGGAAACTGGGTTGATAGGACACACACTTAAAAAGACTAGCTATCTGACTGGCTGTGTAGATAGTTGACTGATTAATTGGTTGACTGACTGACTGGTCTCAATGCATGAGAGAATACTTGGCTAAAACCCTAGCTGGCAAAATTAAACACATACATTATGCACATATGTGCATGCTCAGAAATGCATGGCCTATTTAAAAGGAGTAGAACCAACGCGAGCTGAGATAGACTCCAGCCCTGCGCATGATAAGAAGATGGGTGGATAAATGAACTGATAAAAAACTGAATTAGAACAAAATACAAATACGGTGTAGGCCTAAAGGACACAATATGCTTGGAATGAACTAGTTTGTACAGTGTGTCTTCTGACTTCATCTAAGGGCAAAAGTGTTCAAAAGTGTTCCAAATGGCCTCACCTGAAGGCAGTGTGAAAAGTCTGTTGTCTTGGAGAGGGACAACATGCCATAATTACAGAAATTGTCGGACGCAGCCCCCACAATTCTGACTTTGGGGCTTTTAGACACTGTTTTATTGCCGTACGACTACAAACGGCGTTGGCTCAGGAGATAGAACGGGTCGTCCAATGATTACAAGGTTGACAACTGGCAGATCCCCAGCTTCTCCGGACACTGAGGGGCAAATTAACAAAGAATGGATTGCTGCCACTGCTGCCAACCGCTATCTGCCCTATTCCTCCTTTTTGACTCAGTCTTGATTGTCCCTATTTGTGGACTTATCTTGAACTCCACTTAGGTGTTCTGTCTGATCTGCTTTAAGGACAAACACTTTGACCACTAGATTACCCTGCTTTCTTAGTAAGGAGTACTGTCTCTCAGCCAGTTCATGAACTAAGCTATTAGGTGTTGGCAAGCACTCATTGTGAGTTTAAGACAGGACAAAGTATCAAACACTACCATGGATAACAAATTCGACCCAAAATTACCAACCAAGATTACAATATAATTTGGTTTGATGTGGTGAATGATTGAAAGGGATCTTGTGAATGATAGAAAGTGCTAGGTCACTAAGACTAAGACAATAATAACACACACTTTCTCATGCACTCACTCGAATAAGTCTGCAGGGATTCCATCTCACATTCATCTGGTTAATCTCGTTTATCTCCTCAAGATAATGGATTAAATAACAGAGGGTGTTCCCTGAGCTCAAGGTGGCTAGATTACTGCTAGAGGATGTTTCAGTACATCCTCTCTCATCCTGCTTGATTAATTTGTTCTTCCCATTTTCCTGTCTAACCTTGTTTTACTATGTGCATTCTAGGTAAAAATGCATAAAAAAAGGACAGGTTTAAAATCCAGGTTAAAATACACAAATTAACAGAACACCTAATTATCTAAAATAAACATTGGGTGGATCAGAGATGTATTTAGTTACATACATTAATGTAAAAATCCAATGTTTCCTCGTAGTAGGAAGGTTCTCAAACCTGCAGCTGGCTGGGGCCTTTCTGTGTGGAGTTTGCAGGTTGTGTGGATTCTACTTTTACTCAGTCTTCTCTTCTCTATCTTTCCCAATCCTCTTTTCCTCTCTTATATATCTAGTCTTAAATCCTACCCCGGTTTTATCAGTGTGTGATTGTTGTTTGGTCTTACTGAGTGTCACTGGCCTCCCGTGTTCCAAGAGAGCAAGAGTCCCTCGTAAGAGGCTTACCTTAGGCTGCTAATAGACTTTACAGAGGTGGAGCTATTTTAGGATGGACAAAGAGGAGAAAAGAAAGAAAAAAATGAGAGAGACACACACAAAGAGCAAAGGAAGGAGAGAGATCTGTGAAGTATTTGAGCAAGTACAGTGTGCCCTGGCTTTTCTCTGTTATTTTACTGGGGTCTGCAAGAAAACTCCATGCTACATCATTCCACCGATCCATTCATCTGTGCAACTGTGAAGCTGACGCTATGGTGTAACTGTCAGCAGAGGGCACGGCTCGCAAATTAATCAATGGCGAAGGCATGAGAGGAGCGGACACGAGGGAGAGAACTTCCAAAGCACCTGTAGGACTATTGAGCCCAGAGCTATATATCTGTAGTAGGACTAACACAGCAATGTAGGACTGCTGTTACAGGTTAGTTCACTTCACGAGACTTTTAGCGAAAGGTTAAACGCCCTCTCAGCTCTGTAGGATCCACACCTGAGTTGGACTAAGTCTGTAAGTCTTTGGTTAGCCGCGTCTGTAGTAGGGCTGACACCTACTAGGGCCAGCACGAGGGATACATGTGAAGATGGACCATCGCAACTCTGCATCCTCAATCAATGTAACGTATCTTCACTTGCTTTACTTATAATTTATTCTCTGACCCACATGCTGCTTTAGGAGTCTTGTAGTTATGGTAGAGGGTAGCCAGGGAAACTGAGGATAACTCAATGGCAGTAATGAATGACCAGCAGACCACTGTATTAATGTGTGGTGTATGTACAATCATATACAGTTTGATGCATTTTATTGTTGGCTCTGTAATTTTGCATGCACCGTTTTTAAATTGTGTTTAAAATCAAACAAAGGTGTGTGTTTGCATAGTATCTACATGTGTACGTAT